ATTTTATACTATTGAAGTATTTGTGCTTTTAATATATATGTATATTGTTAAGGGAAGTCCTGTTAGATTATAAGTGATCATCGCCGCCTGTGAGCACCCTCAGGGTTGGCGGTGTGCATGAGACGTACGCTTGTTTGCCTCTTGTGTTATAAAAAAATATACGTGACTAGTTTTGAAAACTCATTGCCATGCATTATATATCAACAGTATTTTTAATATAAATATTATTATTCCGAGTGTATTAAGTTAGTACCTACAATACATATATGGATAATAGGTTCAGAATTCGTACCATATTATATTCCTATACAACAAGAAGGAAACAGATGATTTTAAAATAAAATTATAATGAAATTAATTATAATAGCAAACTCTATCGATTACATAAAGAAACATCATAATTGATTGAATTAGCTTTTTGAAGGTGTATTAAAAATAGACAGAAAATTGTCTCCATTTTAACTACAAAGATTTTAAATTCAATAATTAGTAACATAAACTTAGTAAATGGATTTTCAACTTAGTCAAGTTAAGCGTGGGTACTCATATCAAAGTGCTTTTTTAATAAAATTATCTTTGCTCCATAATTTTTCTTAAAAATGATTCAAATTATAAATTAAGATTATGTAGAGACCTATTACATGTATAAACAAAGAAAGAGCCGTAAATAAAAGTGGCAATTAAGATTAATGAAAGATATAAATTGTGAAGGCATAAAATTCAATTATGTGGCTAGAGTAAGCTTAGGTAGTCAGTACTGTGTGCATTCAAGTCGATTTATTATGTGGAGAATCTCGACTCCAACGCAACAGGTAGTTGCTAACTTCCAGCAAAGTTTTACTTTATACATATTCTGTTGTCTATTAGCTAATACTGTTAGTGTATTAATTATTACTTACATACTTATTATTTATTAAAAGATTGCTATTGCTAAATTTTTTGGGTAGGTATTACGTGTATATAAAATTAATAACTTACTAAATATAACTTTACTGCATAACCATGATTGTAACAAACTCAGCACTGGAAATTACAGTAAAAGTATGTACGAATTCATTTGTAAAATTGGATCAGCTTAAACATCTGTTTTTGAACTAGGTTATAAAACTTGTATCTCAGGCAACAGCGCTCAACCCTCATTAAATACTATAATATAAGCTCAGCAAAATTTTTAGTGCTACATTTAAAATGTTGATTTTATATAAAGTTAAATCATCTAATTATAAACTATTAGTAATAATGATAATTGTGAAAAAATTTACTCCCTGTGTGTAGAGTGCAATAATGTAAAAACATGATAGATAGATACTCTTTATTGTTTCCTCTAAAAGATTAAAATAGCAAACTAATTATAGATGCAAACAATTACAAGAAATGATCACATTGAGAAAACAATGGGTTATAGGCATATGTGAATGTTTTTTTTAAACCTTAAAAGGGTAAATTAGCTGATTGCCTATCTGAAGGAACTCTTGTTCTTGCAGCAAGCAGTTGTTATATGGCTTTCTATTTAAAGGATGACATATGACATGAAATTATATGGTATGGACATATCACCTTTGACCCATTTATATAGGGTTGTTGCAGTATGTCTTCCTCTTTCACTGATCCATATCAGCTGTCATACCTCATTTCTCTTTTATGCGTATTATCATTCACACAGTTCATCCACCTTTTCTTGGCCATTCCCTTCTTTTATTATATACTAATGTAATTTATAATACAAATGTATTTTATAATACTATTAAATTAATACATATAATATATTGTTTATTAATGAATTAATAATAGAGAGAAAGAAAGAGAGAAGTCTTAAAGAGGGGCTCTGTGTAATTAATTAATATATTTTTCAAATTATGTTTAAAAAAAAAAAAAATTATGTTTTATTATTTAATTATATTATACTATATTAATAGTTTGTTCTTCTGCATGACATGTATATATATAAAATCGCATTACTCAGCACTTTAATCTTTAGGAATTAAGATTGGTAATGCAAGAGTAATATTATGTGCATTAGTGCAGTGTATTCTGTAATGCCGGTAAACTGTTGTTCACTACCACATTCTATCTGTAATTCTAAGTTGTTTACAATTATTGCATGAAACAATTTAATGGGACTTTAACACGATAGCTTTTCTAATTCTGAACCGATTTTAGAACTGCTTTGATAATTATGAAGAACATTAACAAAAGGAATAAGGTATCATTTAAGAAACCTTGCCAATATGCAGCTTGAGAAATAAGCAATACGATCTGCTATGACAATACTCTTATGCTAATTGGATATATAAATCATAAAAAATGATGTATTAAGAATTATTTTATTTACGTCCATTTATTTATTGCTTTATTCGTAAAAATTTAAATAACAATATAAATCTGCTTAATATAATGAGAGGTTCAAGTGGCACTAAAAATTCTTATTTCATGGTTTGTTAAGTATTATTTACATAATAAGGTCAATCCTTTTTATTATTATAAATGAAAGAGAGTTTGTTTGTTTGTTACCCCTTAACTCCTTAATAGCTTAACCAATTGTCATAAAATATTGTATACACGTATTATATAGAATGGAGATGGTCATAGGCTACTTTTTATCTCGATTAATAAACATATCCTGGATGAAGTCACGGGTAAGTGTTAGTAATAATAATAATCAAATATTTTATGACTATAATTTTTTTATAGTCATTAATTATAGTCATTTTTGTTTATTATATATATAATTAATTATATAATTTTGTTATTTTTTCATACAAAGTTTTTTAATCTATTTGTATCGCTGGTTTTCTTTTTGTTCATGGTACAAAATTGAGTTACTGAGACAAACTAAAGCTAGAAAACTAGCATGCAGGAAAAGTTTGTCACGGCGGTGTTTCGCGTAAAGTTAATACATATTTAATAGACTACTTATATTGTATATGAATGCGAATATTATATATAAATATAATTACATATATATACATTTTATATTTAAAGATATTTTCAAATATTAAATTTGAATATTTATATATTTCTACAGAGTTAGTAATATTGTTAAATTTTAAACCTTTCATAAAACCGTGATTGATATATGATTATAAATAGTATGTTTCTTTTGAACCGACTTGAAAAAAAGAGAAGAGTCTCAATTCAGCTTTATTTCTTCACGTTTGTTCCCTTAAATTTAGCATTTATAAAACGATTAGAAAAGATTATTTTTTTACATGAAAGACTATACTTTCACATTAGTCTCATATGAAATTTTATCAAAATGGTTAAGTACTTTAGTTTTTAAATAAAAATAAGTGATTTTGCTACGATCGAAGTTGGTGTCTTTGTCGTAAAAGAAAATCTTAAATTATGCTACAAAACATTAATAGTCATTCGTTAGTAAGCATCGACTTAAAAATTGATTTAAAAATTTTTTCAAACAAGTTCTATGTAGAACTTTTTTGTCAATTAAAATTTTAAAATCAGTGAATTTATTAATATATAAGTTAGACTTTTTACTTTTATATCTACATATATACCCATTAGGTTGATATTAACGTAATGTTTATGTAACGTAAACATTAAACAATTTGTTTATTAAATAATAAGAAGTATAAATTGTAGAATAAATTCGTGGTTCATATTCACGAAGTTATAAATACATTATATCTCACCGTCGCACTGAAATTCAAATTTTTAAATTTTTTCACATTTTGTAAAAGAAGCATTAAAAATATTTACATACAGACTTAGTTATATGATCAGGTTTTTATTCTCAGTTCCAATAATAATAATAATAAATAATATTTAATATTTTTTCCTATATTCAAATACATTTTATGTAAAGGAAACAAAACTATTTATTTGCCCATACTTATAACTTTAACTCATATTTGACTGGTTTTATTTTGTATTTTAAGACGTCTATTTGCACATTTTATAAATATATTTTTTTTAAATTAACAATTTTAAAAAAATACAGTAAATTTTTTCATATTTTTCTTGTTATTTATTATATTTACCAGATTTGAACAGATAACGATTTTTTTTGCATTAGTAAAGTTAATAGTTTTATTAATCTCGTATTTTTTTCAATACTTAAGTTTTTTTTAAAACTTTTTTGTATAACTTAATAAAAATTATTTTTGTCTTGCAATTTGTATACAATTTATATAACTTTTAAAACGTTTGACAAAATGTTAAATGAGATAATTTATCGCATACATTTGAAAGTGGCACATATTTGAATTCATACTTAGGTACTATTTTCTTGATAACCATAAAAAAAAATGTCTAAAAACTAAAATTTATCAAAAAGAATAATCAAACACAAAGAACCGCACCATCGTCATATATTTTGTCTTTTGTAAAGTTTTGGAGAAGCAATTTGTTTTATTTAATTCTATTTTTACATATAATTTTATTTCATACATTAGACATAGGCTAAAAAACGTAAGTCTATATTATGTACAAGTCACCGCGTGAAAAAAGTGTTCAATTAAGGTTGAATAGATACTAAGAATTAGGACACTTTCAATGAATTAGGGAGCGGCCCATAATTAAAAAGTTTACGGCCAGTGATACACAAAGCGTTGTTTAACATTTAACTATGAACACCTATATACTTTTGGACATATACATCAAATAAATAATATACTAACAAATTATATAAATGTTTATACATTATACACTTACCGATAATGACAAAATTAAATTATTAATAATTTAAAAAAAAGTTAACAGCTGATATGTATGTTAAATCAAACTTTGATTTACCGCCAAAATTTAAATTTAGAATGGTAATAATATTATTAGAAAAAAAGAATATTATAGCATGGCTGACAGTAATTAAATATTTTCTGCAAAAGTTACTTTCTATTGAATAAAACTTTAAAATTTTACAATAATAACTCGACTATTTTTTTAATTACTTTTTCTATATAACTTTAATATAAAGATGAAGGAAAAAAAAAACAAGAAAAAGCGTGCCGTAATAGAAAAAGTTAGAAACTTTTTGAACTAACCGGACAGTAGCAGGGCTAGCACCGCGGTAATGCAGGCTACGTTTGGTTTCATGGTTGCGATCAGAGTGCCGCATAAGCTATGTGCTCCGGCTTTTTAGCTATAGGGGTGAGTGATCCGCCCTGTCCTCTAGGGCGTAACTGTTTACGTAACTGTTTTATATATTTATCGTATATTATATGCAAATATGTGTTTTTTTTTAACAGAAAGAATTATGGAAAAGAGAGAAAAAGTATACTAAGATTAGCAATGTGTAAGTTTGTCAAGATGTTCATATTGGTTTCGGATATAAAATTTGGTACTCATATACATCACAATAAAAATAAAAAGTATTTTAGGATATAATTCTAGAATACGGTTATTAGTATCTAAAAATGTTTTATATAATTGTTTCGAAACAGCTTACTAAGTATTTAAAAGGAAGTAATTAAAGTAAATTTGTTTTAAGTCAATAATTAAGAGATGAAATAATGACTAAATAAATATTAGTAAAATGTTATATTATATATAGCATTTACTTACATACTAATTAGGTAAATTTTATAACTAAAACAAGATATTACATTTTTTATGGATAGCATAGAAAATATGTTAAACTGATAACTATAAAGTCATAGTAAGTGTATTTAGGATTGCCGAATGCAGGCTTTCGAATTTTAAAAATGATACGAGTATACATTTTACATTATCACACATCATAAAGCAGTAATTCTTAAATTGTATGGGGGAAAGCGTTTATAACATATACTTAAGACAAAATATGTATTAAATACACCTGCTTATAATGTAAATAAGATTATAAGCAGGTGTATTTAAGCAATATGTAGACACTTATTAACGATTTACCTGTTACACGTTGAAATTAGTTTATGTCGTATCTGTATAACCATATAATAAATATAACTATGTAATAAATAAATAAATAAAATAATTAAAAATGAGCATACTAGTTACGTTCTATGTCCAGCCAGTGCGATGTATGGGCGCGCGCCCACCGCTGCCGCCGCCGCCGCCGCCGCGAAGACAACAAAACGTACCTTTATTTATGAGTAATAATGGTCATTCTTTAGATATATGAAATATTACATGCGCTAGAATCTGGTTACATCGCAAATTGAATTTTTTTATATTCACTTTCAATTCCGATTATCGGATTTCGTGAAATATGAGACAGAGTAAATTCATTCGCTTAGCTTTCAAATATATATAGTTTATATATTTTTTTATTATTAAGTATGATAGTTTCGCGACTTTAATTTTATGTATTTGAATAAAAAGTAGTTTATGTAGCAATTTTGATCACATATGTATCAAATTTCAATAAAATTCCTTTAATCATTTAACTGTCTGTAATTAAACATAGTAAAGATGTTTGAATCTTTACGAATTATTATATTAATTAATATTTTATATGAGTATGCAATTTGAAATAGCAATTAAACTGACAGGCCACTTGATAGAAAATGATAACTGTCGCCTGTAGATATGAACAGCATCATGTAGAATAGCAGCACGCACTACATGTAGAATATACTGTATCAATCATGCGTGTCACTTCCGAGGACTAAGACGTTATATGCCTTCATCTAAGGCCTTCATACATTGTAACTATAAATATATATATATATAAGTGTTTTTATCACTATAAATTATGAATAATCTGTTTTAACCTTTTAACAACTATTAATATTTATTAATTAATGAAATTATATTTTCATGCTATTAAATTTAATATGTACAACTCAAAGATTGTTCATGTAATTTTTTTAATTGATGATCATCATCATAATAGCTTTTAACTGTCTACTGCTGAACATAAGCCTCCCCTTGTTACCAGTAGTTGCTATGCTTGGCAGGCGGATTGGCAACCGCAGTTAGGCTTTGGAGATGTTTTAAGAGGGATGCCGCGGTCTATCGCTCGCTCTCCCTTAGTCGCCTTTTACGACACCCACGGGAAAGGAAGGAATCGCCCATTCTATGCCGGGACCTACACAACAAAATTTTTTTTTTAATTGATGTTTGATATAAATATCAATTTATCTATAAATAAATGGTACGTAATGGCAGCAAATGCTATTTACTGCTATTTGCCATTTGCAGTTTGTTCTGTTTGTGTATATTTTATGTCAACATTAATTTTATAGCTATTTTAAATTGATCATAAGTTACAGTCATGTCGTCTTAGTGAAGTAGTTGCTAAAGTAAATTTAGCATTTCGTTAATGTTTCTTTACATTAAATTGAAATGTGGACATAATCCAAATATTTATTGAAAAAAAATTAAAGAGATGTGTTTGAGTTTAATTAATGGTGAGGATTTATTTTGTTGCGAATTATAATTAATATTATGTTTATTTTTCATATACGTTTATTATGTATTTTTCAGCATAGACGTATTTATATAATTGTATAAATAATGTAATATTCTCATAAAGAATATTAAGATACCTAAATAAATAGCGTCCTTATATTATAAGTTTTTGGCTGCACGCTTATTGGCAATGGCTGTGTATAGTGCTATTCTCTAAAGACAAATTCAAGCTTCATTAGCAGATCCACGAGTGATTTACATTTCGTATTCTGTAAACAAGTAAAATCGATGACGGCATCATTTCTCGCTGACAAAGCCGCGAAAAACAGTAATAATAAAAATTTAAATGCAATAATGTAAATAAAATAATCTTCGTATGTGATTAAAAATGATGTTACGTCATATTATATAAAGGTTCTGCCTACGCTGATAGGAAAATAGGACTGATAATAATCTATATAAAACAAGGAAATTTTTTTTTTCTTTCATTCGCTGAATGGTGGGAAAATCGCAGAGGCGTTTGGCTTAGTCACCACGCCTACTTCTGGGATCAATGATACATTGACGCTGTGCAAAATCGTTGGAGTGTCGAATAAATCATAAATCATTGATGTAACTTTTTGTCCTTATTGCGACATGAAGTGAAAGACTTGTTCTATGAATAAAAAGCGTCTATTACTTTTAATGCATCGAATTTGTCTATTTTATCTCCAAGTATATATTTAATTAATTAAATAATGATAATAATATAAAATATTTAGTTTTCAGATCTCTGTACCAAAATGGTACGAAAGAACCCTTATAGTACGAGCTTGTACACCCGTCCGTGCCAGCGTTAGATCTGAGTAATTCTTATTATACGGATTTGAAATTAAAAATAGTTTTAAATGTCACATATTGTAATAATTAAAATTAAAAAATTGCAAAAAATATATTCATGTAGGTATTCAATTTTTTATTGTAAGAAAAAAACCAAAAACCTCTTTCCAGACTGTGTATGGACTCCTTAGCATTTGAGTTCACCTCACACTTGACTATTTTTATTTTTATACAACCGGAAAAAGCAAATGAGGTAACAACTTACCTTATGGAAATAGCAATCGTCGCCTGTAGATATTAATAGTACTATGGATATTACAGAATTCATTGTGACGCCCATGGCACTTATTTTACTGTACTACATTTTAAATTGCCATTCCTAAAAACTTCCTTTCCTTTCCTGTGGGTGTTGTAAGAGGCGACTAAGGAAACTTAATGGTTGAGGGATGAGGAGCAGCGTCCCTCTTTAAACATCACCAATACTTAACTTTGGTTGTCAGCCCGCGTGTATCTACTGGCGAAATCAACAATAGGGGCAGGCCTACGTTTAACAGTGGATAGTTGACGACTGATGTTGACGAATTTTGAGAACAAACCTCCAATGCTTCCGTACCCTATAATTTCGATGCTTACCCTTCAAATCGATGCAAGCAGACTAGCGGCACAAACAGAGACGTCTTTATAAAGTCTTTGAAAAAATATAGTTTAAATAGAGGACAATTTTACGTTATATTGGAGTATGATTTCCAATCAATTCATAATGTACCTACATCTATGTTCACAGAAAGTTTTATTGAATTCTTAATTTTATAATGCTTCTACTAAACAATCCTAATTTATAATCTCACAAATCCTAAAAATAAATAGGCATTTATTGTTGTTTAAGTATTGGAATATACAGGTATACCTTTATCTTTGCCTCTGCCCGTTCATTTTTTCTTTAATGGATGATAATGGAATAGTAACCCTTTCTGCGCTAATGGTATACGCTGGCAGGTTACCAGTGAGGGATAATAGGTGAAAATGAAAAGCAAGTCAGTTAGCCCATAGTGATGATTATACCTGAAATACTGTACTATGGTTTCCAGGGGGACTACGTGGAGATCGATATGACAGGGTGTATTACTAGCAATAGGACTGGTAGTCTGCCCTACTAACAATCTCTTCCTTCTCCCCGTTCATTTAGGGTTACATTATATACAGGTATATAGATAAAATATATTTTCGCAAATTTCTGACCGTCGTATCTGGCTTTCCTTGTATTAGACAGTATTAAATGGCTCAAAAAAAGAAAAAAAGAAAATAGATTTTTCCAAAATAATATGTCTAAAATTCTCTATTCGTTGCTTTTTGTACGAATTTATAATTACCTACGATGTAACGTTAATACGTAACGAAACACTTACTCATTCATCGCGAGTTGTAACTGTATCGCACGCACGTGCCCCTTTTGTTATAGTAATTATCATAATTAATTAATTTGTGTTAACTGAAGACGTGTACGTATTTGGGAGTATTAAATTTATTTTGTTTAAAAATATCCTGAAGTGTGCAAAAATGGATAATTACTTTTTATATACACACCTAATATTAACCACCTGACTGAAAGTGATTCTCTGAAATGCTCCCTTCACTAGTGAAACTGAACATTCACCAAAAATACATGGGTCGAATAACGATAAAAATTTTTTACAACTTTCATACTAATGCGGCGTATTCAGTTGTTAGTATGAGAGACTCAAAATTTTTTGTAGTACGTGATTTTTGAAATTACGAAATTTTTGGTCTAAATCTGGATCTTAGTTTCGAGCACCGCTAACGATATTAATTTTACTCTGTATAGAAATTCATCTGTAGCAGTAACTATTAGGTCCCGGCATAGAATGGGCCACCCCCTCCTTTCCCGTGGGTGTCATAAAATTCGATTAAAGGTCAAATTATGGTTAAAGGTTGACTGGGAGAGAATGCTATGTAGTAGTAAGTCCGCCTTTTGTATCAGAATTTTTTTTAATGTGTAATAAATAAATAAATAAACGATGGGCAGCAGCGTCCCTCTTAAAACATCACCAAAGCCTAACTGCGACTACCAAGCCGTGGCAACTTGCTAAATTCTTGCAAGGGGGGAGATCTATGTTCAGGAGTTGGCAGTTAAGAGCAAAATATACTGTGATGCATGTGTGCTATTATGTGTGTTCGTAATATAGATAGGCAGAACCATGAAAAGCTTTTCACTGATGTATTTTTGTTATTTTATTGCAATATGTATACTTGTATTTACTTTCTATTTTTGATGAACATGATATTTCGTAAAATGCATTTAAATTTATTTGCATCTTATAATATTAATATAGGTCATGTGAACTGTTTTGTTATGAGTGATTCATAAAAAATAACTATAAAAAAATGTATGAAAAATATTTTTGTTTATTATTTAATTTTATGCAAAATTATGGATCGGTTCAATACAGGTACTGAAGTCTGAAATGATTCATTTGCAATACATTCAACGTCAATTACTCTTTGAGATAGACTTTCAACATTCAAGTTGTAGAGGTAGAGGTATAAAATCCATATTAAGACTTAGACGAAAATCCATCAAATCTTCTTGTCGTTTTCTAAAATTGAGAAAATTTTGAATGCAATTTATTAAATCTATCTTCTACCTACATTATGGAACCTACCTATTAGTTTTAAACTTCGTGACACAAATAATGAAAACGAAAACTTTTACTGGCTTCTTGGAAACGGATTCATTTAATAGCTCGCGAACTGCGCTGTCTAAAATTCTACACAGTTTGTGTAGATGGAATAATAATTATTACTTGCCATATCCAAATACTGACTAATGGGTAGGGGGGGGATTGTTAGTAATACGGACTACTAGTCCTATTGCTAGCAATATGTCGAACCAGGTCGACCTCCACGTCCCCTCTGGAAACCATCGTGGTGAATTCCAGGTAAATTCGTCACGACGGGCTAACTGGCCTGTCTTTTTATTCTCACCTATCATCTCACACTGGTGCCCCGCCAGCGTAAACCGTTAGCGTAGGCGGGTTTACCATTCCATTGTCATTCATTAAAAAAAAATACTGACTATAATAGTGATACCATTTGGTAACAGGTTTATGGTAACAGTGACTAGAATAGGTAGAACATTGACGTTATTTATCAAATAGGAAAATGTTTTATCACAACCAGTTGTCAATTAAGTATATTAATTTTCTTCGAATACGTTGCGACGTCATTACGTCTGTAGGTGATTTAATTATAGGTGTTCTTTTATTTTTTAATTTCTTCTTTTTCATTTATAATAACTGGCAAGGGTCGTTACTTGATTGATAAAAATAATATGAAATCAAAACCGCGGAATAAATCCTTATCCTTAGAAATCCGGATATGTAGAAATTAGGTACGCTTTACCGCGTCTTAATGCGTCGCGTCGCGTTCACTCCCGAAAATAAATTTAAACTTATGGATCTCAAGATGTTTAAGTTTTTTATAAATGTTACAATGTTAACAATTTAAACATACACCCCACATGATAGTAAATGAAAATCTGGTTAATTAATATGCTAACCATATCTTTTTTTATATTTAGATTTATCTATTTTTTATTACGAAAGCTTATACTAATTAAGCTCAGGCAATTTCAAATTTAAAGTAACTGAGATTTATTTTGTTTACATTCCATTTTTATAGATGATTAAGGCTATGATATTTCAGCTTGAAAGTAAATAGTAAATTAATAAAGTTAAATAAAACGACAGTTTAAAATTTGTTACATTAGTTACGAGTACATTAGAATATATCAGTAGGTACACGTTTCTTTTAGCGACGCCCATGTTTTATGACTATCTACCTCTGAAAGTAGTATCGTAAAATGCTTTTGGATCCATTATACAGCTCAGACAGTAAATTAAAAACCGGCATATATTAGATAACAAATAGATATAGATATATTGTACGTTTGACTTTTTAACCAATAAAAATAGAAAACCAAGTAAAAAAATAAGTGTGATTTAATGCGAAAATTATAGAATATTTGATGAGATGTAATTTTCAAGGGTAAATTATAAAATATTTTTATTCATTTTCATATAATTTGGAATGGAATGTAGGTAAATGGTAGCGTATAACACGATTTTAGAAGAAATATCCATCATTTAGTTTGTAGAATGAGGTGGCTACCAAGGTATTTGTAAAAACTAAAGCACTCGAGGTTCTACGAAATGGGATAGCTATATCGTGCTTAATAAAGTAGCTAGAATTGTAGCTAGGACATTATAAGCTATGTTGATGGCTGGCTTTTTATTCCAATCTCTTCGAAGTTTGGGAAAAGCCGTTTTGGTTACTAAATCCACAAGTGGTTGCTGACAAGGTTGGTCCATAAATAGGGTTTGTTGTGGATTAAAATAGTTTTCCTTTGTTAATATCTATGAAGGTAGATATTGAATCCTTTTTACTTGATTACTTTTTTAAAGCTCGGGGATACATATAGTTTATTCTAATCGATACCTATGCATTGAAGATGAACTTGGTTACGTGGACGAAGTCACGAGTAACAACTAGTAAGGTAGATAAAATATTTCAACCAAAAGTAGATAAATACTTAAAATATTATTTAATTCTTCAATATTTTAATTTTACAGATAGGTTTAGAGAATGCATTACAAAACCAACCTTTGTATGCTATGTAACTCTGTTACCTAATTGTCTTGCATGTTACTACGGCCCAAGCTGGTAAGACAATATCTACAAAAGAGAATCAAAGTTCTAACGATACTAAAAAACAAATACGATTGTTCAGTCCGGTTCATTATCCTTCAGTTCTATTATTGGGATATTTTCAGACTCCTTAAAAAAAATTATTAAAGTACGGTCCTAAGCCAATTACATTTATCTTATTGTGAATTTTTTGCAAATTCGTCAGTCCTATAGGGGAAGATCGAGCTAGTTCAATCATGATGAAAATATGTAAATAGGTAGGTGGATATAGATGTTACCAGTATATGAATTTTAGCTACATATCTACCGACGTGTACCGAAATATGGTGAAGTATATATATATAAATATATATATATATATATATATATATATATATATATATATATATATATATATATATATATATATATTTTATAAACTTTTTATAATACTTTTTGCCATCAAAATCCAAACTTTCAGTGACAACATAATAAGTATATTATTGCATGATAAACATTTTAATTTGTAAGCACTTTTTAAATAATCAGTCAGAAATATTGAAAAATTTTCAATTATTTTTAAAAATTGACAGATAGTTGTGAACAACACAATGGCAAAAGCACAAGCTACACTTTGTCAAGCTGAAGTTATAAAAGCTTTTAAAAAGTGTTATGTGTGATAGAAAATTAAAATTTAACTTTAATTATAGAATAGGTTGTACACAATTTTTTACCACTAAAATTTTGCGTTTATTCAGTATTTAGCTTCGGAGGTTTTCAAATATATTTTTACCATTAAAATTCAACTTTCGAGCTTTAATAGCAATATTAAAGTCGAAAGTTAATATGATTAACATATTAGTTCGCCATCAGAATTTTTTTAAATAATCAATTAGTAATATTAGGAATTATTTATTTTTTTAAATAAACTTGATGATTCTGGCGTTCCTACACATCGGCTAAGTTCGAAATGAACGGCCTTAAAGCAAATGTTGTTTGTGAACTAAACTACTCCTAGTTATGGCTAATGAAAATAAAGTTAAATACAACATGCCGGTTACTACGTAATAAAGGTATGTAGTAAGATCGTGTTTATTTCTCGTGTATATTTTACTGTAAATAACAAGCAATATTTGAAAACTTGTCCGAGTTCCTGTGTAATGAAGGGATTAGGTATGCACCTAATATAGGCACTTAATCGTCCATTATTTTCAACCAATTTAAAAAAAGAAGGCTCTCAATTTTGAGTTATGTTAGTCTACACACGTGGAGATGTAAATGGAGCATCGATTGTTAAAAATAGGCCAAAAACTGTTGGATGATGCATTTTTTTTTTATAATAGTTAAAATAATATAATTGACAGTTTGTCTAATAAAAATAGTGACCTTAGAATTAGCGAATACAATTTTAAACATTAAAAAAAAAGATTGGCGATATTTGTAGACGCGTTTGAGAAACAATTTATCGATTTAATTATTTATATCGCCGTGATCGTTAACAACAATTAGTCTATTTTCCATTTAATTCGGTCCTAAGTCGCAAGCTAGTATTTTCATAAATTAAAACAAATAGGTATATAAAATGTATCTAAATATATTTATTTACATTAACTTATATATATACTTATTCACAACTTTAAATAAAAAAAAAATATGTATTTTATACAGAAATTAAATAACATTAATTAACAATGTTGTAATGTTTAGGTACAAATACATATAAAACTATCTCATAGCTACAATACTATGACATCTCGGTGACAGAATAGGATCAAATAATTTGACCAAAAAAACATTTTTAAAACCATTCTCGTATAAATACAAAAGTCTGTCTAATAATATCACACTTTCTATCACCTGAGCCAAACACAACCTTAACAGATAGAACAACACTATTTTCTCCCATTGAGAGTCCAAATTTTTTTTCTATATCACTTAAATGACACTCAGGTAGAATATCATACAGCTTTAATTTTAGTATAGAATCGGCCATTTTGAAGTACTCTCTGAAATCGTTATACTTGTTCGGCGTAATGCGTTTTAACTTGCCATCCGCTATAAAGACGTCGGGTAGATGCTTTTTAATTAGTACCTGTAATGGAATATTATTAAGTACACAAGGCACCGTCAAGTATAAGTTATTTCTATACATAGATGAAATAATAATACTTTTTTTATGGTATCTGGACGTTGCGCTTTTTTTTTATTATGCTCGATTATTTTATAGGAAAGATAAGTGATGTGTACTAAGTAGAATGTAGGAGGGCGTTTGCACTCGATTTTATCTACATACCTCATAAATTTTATTACTTATATATACTTTTTGATGTACTATTAGAATAGTCTATTGTCTATTAGTATAAAAAAAATTAAAGATTGATATTTCCATAATTTATATGATTATATGACGTAATAACAAAGTAACCTACATAGCTCGAAGGACAAAAAGCTATGGCGGCAATAGGCTGATCTCATAGCGTGAAGAACCGACAACCTATGGAGAAGAAAGGTTTTTGCGTGGCGACCTCGTACAGGCAAACGTAGTGTAGGACGACCCCCCACTAGATGGAGTGACGACCTCAAATGCATTGCAGGTGGCTCAGGACCGTTTCTTATGGCAGTATATGGGGGAGACCTATGTCCAGCAGTGAACCGATAATGGCTGAAATGAAGATAATGATGACGTAATATTTAAAAGTAATCAATTATCTTTAAATTTTTAGCAATAAAAAAAAAACGAACGGAAATCGATGGAAAATTTGTAAAAAAATCGTCTTGTGTTAAAAAGATACACTTGTTTCTGTCGCTAACCTTCGGGGCTCGCATGACTGTGTGTTTAATAGAGTATAAGCTAGTGACACCTTGGTTCTCAGAAATGATAACGCAAGAGTCACTATAGGCGTCAGTTCACATCATATCAGCTGATTTGTGATTCCAAGGTGTAGTTACATGAAAATATGCTTTTTATTTATATTTTATTGCAAATATTAATAATACATACAGAAATATAACATTGGAAAGTTAAATGTACAAAGACGAGCTTAACTCTACAAGAGCAAACCCAAAGTAAAAAGCAGCATCAATATCATCGGGTACAGTATATATCGTATAGTAGCGGCGTACAATACTATGACAATTTAATAAGCAAAAAAGAACTACAAAAACTTAAGTTTATAACATAGCTTTAATTTAATTGCATACATATTTAATTCTGTATATATACATACATAAATATAATTATATACTAATACATACATGCAAATAAATATGTTCATAAGAATAGAAGACGCCTTTTAAGTCTAGCTCTTAGAAATTTTTACATATTGACTCTCACAGATAAGTATGGGAAGGGACTTCTGCAGTCTAGCTGCATGGAGGGTAAAGGACCCACTACAGTGCGTAGACGAGTGAAAATTTTTGAAGATAAAAGACGTTCGTCGAGCAACAAGAAATACCACTGTATTTCTTTTGATTTCCTTTTGGATCTTGAGTTTTGACTATTTGTTTTGCTTTCTAGTCAAAACGTTAAAGAAGATAGGACGAAGAAGGGTTGGTTGGTTTATTGTATGCAACTTTACATGTCGTGTGAAAAGCAAGGGTTTATTACTCGTAACTTAGTAACTGTAATATCTGACGCAGCCTTTATAATCACACGTAGGTACACTTGCGTGTAAATGTGAGATTCGGTGAATTTATCCAATGACGTAGCAACAAATTAAAATGTAATCATTACTAGGAAAAACAAATTGTTAATCGATAACGTATCCTGTTTACTTTTCAATATTATTCACATAGAAAATAGGTGTTTATAACTGTTTCTAAGAAGCGAGTCATTACTTGTGTAGGGGTTAGATAGCATGCGATACTGAGTCATAGAAAGGGAAAGTTTCATGATAGCCGTAATAAACTTATTCAAAAAGAGATTGCTATTTTTTTATACATATATTCGTGTTTCAACCGTGAAGCGGTTGTGTTTGCATGGCTGTGTTTCGGTTTGAAGGGTGGGATATGGCGTGAATTTACTGGGTACAGAGGAATAACACCTGAGTCCTAAGGAATGGCAACGCATGGGGGATATCATGGGCGAAACAGTATACTCTGTTATGTCCATGGTACTGCTCATGTCTATAGGCGACGGTTACTACTTTCGATCAGGTGAGCCGTCAGCTTGTTTGCCATTCTAAGTTGCATAAAAAAAAAACAAAATAGTTCTTTATTAATCGCCTCTCAAATAGGAGCTTTTCAAATCCACAGCATTTTTCTTGTTACACCACCGATATCAAAGATGTATGTGATATATATAAAACATTAAATTGCAATATTTAATACCTGCACTTAGATTTATGGCAATTGTAATCTATTTATATCTAAATGAAGTTTTGTTATAGGGAAGTAAGAAGCAAAAAAAGACGATGGATATCATACACGACCAAATCTAGACCCAAGTTTAAGGTAGGGCAAAAGAACTTTTTGGTAGGGCATAAGCCATAATTCATAATTTTCTTGGGGCCTTTCATTTTGAGGTAGCGCAGCGTACCTCAATGCCCCCAGCTACGGCCAGGATATTATAGTATAATATTCTGTAATATTCATAGTGATATTTAAGTTTATAGGCGACGGTTACCACTTTCAATCAGGTAGGCCGCCAGCTGGTTTGCCATTGTATGCATGTTTCATAATAAAAGTTGTCACTTGTCATGTACTTATAGGAGTAATTTAAAGTTTATATCAATTTTAATACCAAAATCAGAATTTACATACTTTTCTACAAACATAATTAAAGTAGGTGTAGGTACGTTCCTAACACTAGCTTTGCTTCTATAGAAAGTATACACAAACAAAGTACATAGTAATATGCGTAGAGGGTGGAAGAAGAAATATCTCAATTATAGTTTTAATTATAAAAAAGTGCATGTTTTTAATATCGCTGCCGGTAGCGTAGGCGCCTTGTATAATAAGTAACGTTAATAACTAGAGGTGGGTAAATTATAGTAATATCTATATATTAATACAATAATGGATATTTTTTTTTTGATAGGTGATAATGGAATGGTAGCCCCGCCTGCGCTAACGAGATGCGCTGGCGGAGCACCAGTGAAGGGTGATAGATGAGAATGAAAACAGGCCAGTTATCCCATCATGATGAATTCATCAGAAATTAACCATGATAGTTTCCAGGGCGAACCGCGAGGAGGTCGACCTGGTTGGGTATATTGCTAGCAATGGGATTCTCTGTCTTCATTACTAACAATCCCTTTCCCCCCAATGGATATATTAAACACCGGTTATCCATCAATCATAATCAAAATGTATATAGATACCCGAAGGGGTTTTTGGTGGGTGAAAATAGAATGGAACCCTATTAGCGCTAACGGTATACGCTACGAGGCACCAGTGACAAATGATATTTATGGTAAGGTATAAACAGAGCTGTTAAACCCCATTTCCAACAATCTCTTTTCCCCTATATATATGAAGGGGTTTTTTTATGCAACTTAGAATGGCATACAAGCTGACGGCCCACCTAATGGAAAGTGGTAACCGTCGCCAATAGACATGAGCAATACCATGGACATAACAGAGTATACTATTTTACCCATGACCAATGCGTTGTCATTCCCGATGACTAAGGCGTTATTCCTCTGTACTCAATAAATTCACTGCCATATCCCACCTTTCAAACCGAAACACAGTTATGCAAACATTATATATGCTTTACGGTTGAAACTTAAATAGGACAAAGGTACCCAAACAAACGACTTATGTACGAAGTATTGTTAAGTTCTGGTACGAGGGTATGGACAATATGGAAATGAATGATAAACTTTCCACTATCAATCTCCAAAGAAACCCAATATATAGATATCGAATGATATTTAACCATTAATAAACTTATATAATAGAGGAAGTGCAGCATATTTGGAATACTGCAGGTAATTTGGAATACTTCCATATCTGAATCAATATAAACGCTATCTGTGTTTTTTTTTAAGTAAACATAACGCCATTCGATAGACGAAGCCATAGATAGTTAAAATCAGGACACCATTTTGACATTCCGGCTACCAGCCCCAAAGAAACGAGACACTTGTTTTGAAAACTTTTTCGGTAAGAATACAATCCGTTGTAATCTTTACTGTAATTTCAAGGTTCTGGTTTTTGTTATATTTGATTGTTCTCATTATTAAAGTTTAATACTTTGACAATAATTAAATGTATTTTTTACCTACCGATCCCGTTCCTCTTTCAATTTATTCTCAAAAATCAAACTAGTATTCCAAATATGCTGCAGTTCCTCTATTAATCTGTACCTACCTCTAGCAAAGCTCTATAGAGCAAACTCTTGGACGGCAACTGTCTTTGATATACGACTCTGTCTATGGATTGTGCGGCCAGCATTCTTGCGTTGCGCCCGAGATTATAATCTGTGGGATAGTTTACAATAAAAAAAAAAACATTGTTACAATACGCCTGAGGGTTATGTTGTGCAACCAGTTGTATGTTTAATGTGTAGAATTGCAAAAAAAAAAACGCCTGAGGGTGTTGCAAAACCGATCGTGAATGTATTTATAATAAAAAAAAAAAAATTAAGTACAGCTATTTTAAATAACATTATTAATTAATGTTATCGAAATAAAGATTGTATTGTTCTCTTTCTTACATTCATATTTATGATGTCGAGCAGTGAAGCCTGCATGACAGTATTCCGGTATGAAGGATGAGATAGGTTACTGGGTACGACACAAATACCATAGCCCTCAGGAAATGTAACGGATAAAACGTTACATGGGCATTACAGTGTATTCTCTAAAGTCCTGATAGTGTTCTTATTTATATAGCAAAAGTTACGACTTCCTTTCTAATGACGCGTCCATGTGTGTCATTTTAAGTACCTATATATTACAAGTAATAAAAAAAGCATCAGTATACCAACTTCTCAAATGTTCCGACATAGGAAACCCCTGTCCTGTATCATGTTCTGGAGCGTAATCCCTCTGGAAAACATCAAACAGTCCTGCGTCCACGTGTTCAGTAAGGAGGTGGTAACAACAAGGAACATTGAAGACAGCGCTTATGGATCCTTGAGACGTGAAGATACGTAGAGAGTCAGGGCCCAGGTTGCCGCACGTGTGAAGACCTGTCGCATTCATCGCCATAAAAACTGGTGAGTAGAGACCTCCCAATATACATATATAAATGTGTATAGTTGTAAAAAATATGCTCACGACGATAAATAAATCTACTAGAGACTCTAATGGTTCCTTTTAGAAATGAATGGTAACTCTATTTTCTCGGGGGTGAGGATGAAGTCAGATCAGTTGGCATATCATAATCAATTCACCAAAAAACAACCGCAATGTTTCTCAGGAGGAACCGCGTCGACCTGATAGTGCATTTCTAGGAGTGAAGCTGCTAGTCCTTATTACTTACTAACTATCCCTTCCCCCGCATGACTTTAATGGGGTATAGGTAGGGTTGCCAACTCTTCCGGATTGCACGGGAGACTCCGGTAATAATGGTTAACCTTCCTACCTCTCGAAGTGCAATAATTCCTCCGATTTTTCTAAAAATATTGACTTTGATAGTGACTATTTGTAGGAAGATGATGTTACATTAATCATTCCTGTCTTTAAAGCTTCATGCGAGCTCGTATTTAGCACGATGGAACAAGGAGAGAAACCGAATGAGTATTTATTTAGTAAAAGCAGAGTTACAAGTACTAACAAACTTCGATTTTTCATGTAAAAACTTTTATCATTTTGTGGTGAAAATTCAACAAATATTAGATGCTGCTCGAAAACAAAATAAATATAAATTTAAAAATAAATAAATTATTTTCTTTTAATAGCTGTGGGGAGGGGGGAGGAGGGGGGGCTCCTCGATAAAATTCCTAAACATAAAATTATCTCGGGTTGGTCCTTTCAAGAGTTGGCAACCCTAGGTATAGGCATTTGTAGATTGTTGATTATATTCAACACCTACATTTCGATGACCAAATTTGAATCCAACGTGGCAAAGGACAACTCTATGCCCTCACTCAGATTATTGTTTTGCTATCGATAAAAATTACAGGTAAGAAAGAAAAATATAAATATTGCATATTACCTGTCAAAAGTAACTTAGTTTCACTACTGGTAAATTCTGGAAACTTCTCATTGACCAAAGTTTTAAGGTCAGTGTCTCTAGTGACGAAGGCGCTGGCGAACCGATGTAAGTTCTTGTCTATACTCTCTGAGATCCGTTCCTCGTGGCCATCCTTTACTCTTTTAGCTATTGCGTGCCATTGTTTCTATCAAGAAGAAATTTATATGCTAATTTTTTATGTACTTTGTATATATGAATTTGAATAAAAATTTAATTTAAATTCCATACACTTATTAGGAAATTCAAGTTCAAATCGAAACCATTTGCATAGTTTTAAGGGAGTTCTCTACTTAGTAATGGCTGGAAAGAAACCATAAAGTATAATAGAAAAAAAAAAAAAAAAATTAATTGGGCATATTATTCTTGTATCATTTAATGTAGTGTTTATTTAATAGAAAGAAAGAAAGAAATATTTTTATTCTAGTAAATTTCGATTTAAGCATTTTTGAATAGTATATTGTTCATTATTTTACTGCCCATTCGGATCGCAGTTTTAGCCAAAATAAAAAGAAAATATAATTTAAAAATATAAAAAACACTAGTGAAATTATAGAAGTGGTACTATTTTAGAGTATGTTGTACACTACTAGTAACTCTCAATAATTAAACTTAAGGTACATAGTGGAAAATTGAAATAAATAAAACATGTTGAGTCTCCTATATTTTGATTTTAAGCGATGTTTTTTTTTTGGGGGGAAAATAATCAATTTTAATAGTTAAAAAATTTAAAATGCTAAATAATTCTATTTCACATTATATAAAGTTTACAATCAGACCTTATACTAGACTAGACGAAAACTACATTTTTTAACAGTGTATGTGTGACCAGAGGGCGAGCGTATCGCGACGTACGCTTTCAAACTAGCTAATTAATTAAATCATTGATACCTATGCCTAATATAATTATTCTAAGAGTTATAATAATAATATATTTATGTATGTCTAAGAGTTATAGAACATGGAATAGGTATGACGAGCTTTTACCCTTTATGTGACGATTAGGGTCAGCCCGCGTAACACAAGTTATTCCCTACACCCACCTAACAACTATTTGTTGAAAAACAAAGCCATTACTGCCCCTGTAGATGACTGGCAGGAATATACATTATGAACGGTAACGAATTAATTTAATAAAAGTGAAAACTGGTTTAGATCAAAGTTATATTCGAAATTAAATTACAGATAGAGCCGGATTAGATGTAAATTGTATATCTTGGCAGATTTGGAGTTCTGGCGTAAAAGTTACATTTTTTATTCTGTGGTTTGCGAATGAACACAGTTAATTGATGAAGACGAAGAGTTAAATCTTTATAAAAGGTGTAAGGGAATGTTCATACCGAACATAGATGATAATGTTGTATACGCCAATATGAGCAAACGTATTTGAAACGGAGATAATACTTTTAATATGCAATGAGAGGATTTTAGAATGGAAAACTACAGAAAAGATGAGGAGACAGACATAGCAAAATATATTTTAACAATATGTAAAAACAATATGTCAAAAAATATATAAATTTCGAATGACAATAAGAATATAAAAATATAGCAAAGAGTTCGCTACAGTATTACCGACTGTTAATACTAACACTTGTCTAGACGTTGGCGGACTAGCATAAAACGTAGCGGAAAGCCGTGCATGTTAGTAAAGCGCACCGGTCATCCTACTATCCTGCATTTTTTTTTATTAATCTCTGTGATATATGTTCACTTACTACTACTAGTTGCTCTGTAAATTTTATTATTATATACCTATTTAACTAAATATAAAAAAAAGATAAATACATTGTGTATTTACTATAACTGCACCGTCAAGAGTATTTATTAATAATGTACCAAACAACAACTGTACGCTTTTTTTATTTTTCATACATTTATATCATTGCATACATAAGTAGCTCAAGGTTAGTGTCGGGATTGGATGATATTTTGTATGAAGTCAACATTAATAAATTATATAATAAACTCTTTATTGCACACAAAATAGAGATGTAAATAGAATATTGATACAAGTAAATTTTGTATATATTACAAAATAATTATAGCTAAGAGTAATCTCTTGGAAGTTATAAACACAATTCCACAGTGGAATGTACAACATGAAGTAGTGTTGTATATTAATATAACTTTTTATTTCACAAAACATAGGAGTATAAATAGACCAGTAGATAGTATCGATTACAAGAGGCGACTTCTATGACTCGAAGTGGTTTTATAAATCTTGTGTTAATTGACTTTTGTCGTTGATTGTACCTGTATAATTTTGATTCTTTGAGTAGCCGCGCGCAGGGTTCTCACGTCGCAGTCAATAGTGAGGCTCGGTACTCCGTAGCCGAGGGTAAGTGCGACGGGCAGGTGTCCGCGGCCACCGCCCGCCTCCACGCAGCACGTGGCTGAACTAGCGCCGTACAATGACGCCACTAGACGAGACATTGTTTGTACCTAAAAAAGTATCTTATTAATCGCAATTTACATTATGAATTTTTTTTTTAAATAAGTGAAAATGGAATGGCAACTCTATCGTCCAATCGGTATACGTTGGAGGAGCACCATTGAGACATGATAGGTGAAGATGAACGCAAGTCAGTCAGCCCATAGTGACGAATTCAACAAGAATTAACTATGCAAATCTCCAGGGGTGTGGAGGTCTACTTGACAGGTATATTGCTAGCTGTAAAACCTTATTACTAAAAATACTTTTCTCGCCACATTATGAAACTAGTAACTGGTTCAATTAGTCATAATGGACCAACTTACCTGCTTTCATCCTCACCTATCTATATCCAAATTATCTATTTAATATAAACTAATGCATGATTAGTTAAAATTTAACGACACTAAAAGAGTTTCGTGCTTTGTTATATTTTTTAAATACAACTAGCACTATTTTATCATAACGTGAAAATAGTGTCACGAAAGCTTTGTACTTGACTTACGGAGAGGAGGAGACTTATTGATACTTGACTTACGGAGGCCACGATTGCAACAATATTGAAAATTTCACTAACATTTAGCACTAGTTTTATTAGTAGTATGTTGCACGAAACTTACAAACTGAGATTGTAAATTAGGCTTTAAATGAGTAACTGTAGTGTAGATGTTATATATATTTCCCACAAATACCTATAAAAAAAAATGCATAATAACGCAATACACACAAAATTTACCAGAGGGACACTTTGTACTATAATTGTTTGCTTGGGCACCTCTGTCGATTCGTGTTTCTACCGTGAAGCAGTTGTACTTGCATGGTATGTGTTTCGGTTTGAAGTGTGGGATATGGCAATGAATTTACAGGGTACAGAGGAATAACACTTGAGTCCTAGAAATGGCAACACATGGAGGATATCATGGGTGAAACAGTATACTCTCTTATGTCCATCGTACTGCTTATGTCTATAGGCGAAGGTTACCACTTTCCATCAGGTGGGCCGTTAGCTTGTCTGCCATTCTCAGTTGCATAAAAAAAAAATTATGTGACGGTTAAGCCTTCAATTTTTATCTGGATTATGTTATATCTCGTAGATCTCCTATTTTAATATTTGGTGTCGCACACCGAAACATATAAGTATCTATCATACCTCATAACTTTTCTTTCCACTCATAAACTGTTTGACTTTTATTTCAGGCTTAACTTCACCTCCCAAGTTTTTGATACGATCTTGTAGTTGTTCAGCTGTGATGCAGTAATCATTGTTTACAGTGATGCAGTGTGAGCGCGCCTTGTTGATCCAGTTACCAAGTTTTGTATTATCTAAAAAAATAAAAACTTCATGACGTGTTTTTCTTATAATTTTTCAGAGAACAATAAAACTTGGTTTACATTACTAAAACACTCTCTTCAAATGTTTTAATAGCACTTTTACTTGTGAATATTACTAATTACTTAAAAGCTACCTTTAAGTAATGTAAACTGTCTGATAATGTAAAGTAAATAACAGGAAAAAGTAGAAAAATGCAGAGTAAAGTGTGTTAAACTTTACCCTGCACTTTTCTATATTTTCCCTCATTAATGATAAATTTAATAAAAGAAGGTAACCTACATATATAATTATATATCTCTATCTATTTTTGTTAACTTGTGTAAGCATAGACAATAATGTCAATAGTATAATGTAAGAAAGACTCTGTTTTCCGCACTTAGCCTCTCATTTGGGCCGTTGTGCGTCAAAAATAGTATAATGTAATTTGGACTTACTACAGAGTTGATGTTGTTATTTATAAATAAATAAAACAAACCCTTGTTGTTCATATCTTCTGCAATGTTCCAGAACTTCTCAACAGTTGTTTTAAAATCCCAGCTTGACATCGAATCCCTCAAACCAGTAGGGATAAGTAGATCCCAATGATTTTGTGTGAAGAATTCTACCATGTGGCAGTTGGCTAGTGGCAATAGGGGATTTAGGAATGTAGTGATGGAGTCTAGATGAAGACGTAGTTTATATATAGTGGATTCCATTGATGAAGGAGGATGATCACCTGTAATTATAATAATTGAAGTAATTTCTTAGATTAATAGAGAATGTAGCTTTTTATTTTCTATATTTTTATCAATACAATATTTGTGATAGTCATTTTATCCCTTCATACTGTTCGGTTGTAAGCTTAACTTTTATTTGAAAACAGGCAACAACTGTGTTTCTTCACTATTCTTTACACCTAAAATTGCATCCCGAGCTGGGCAGTAGATTCATAAAAAAATTATGATTCAAAAATGCTTATTATTAAGTTTACTTGAGTAAAAAGTATTTATTATTATTTTCATTATTAGTGGGTGTTGTAAAAGATGATTAAGGTAGGGTAAGGAATGGTTGACAGCATCCCTTTTAAAAGATCTCCAAAGTCTAACTGTGATTCCCTGCCAATTGTGGCAACTACTGGTAAAACTCCCCAAAGGGGTTGCTTATATTCAGCAGAGGACAGTTAAAGATGATGATGATATGTATAATATTGCATAACATACTACTAACTTACCAGTATCTTCAAAATGAAACTCCTGCATCATATGGATTAGTTGATGGTATTTTCAAATGGGCACAAGCTTTTTTATACTGAGCCCTTATATTTTCTGCTATACCCAGTATATCATGTTCTTCTGAATTTGTACGTGGAAATGTGTCAATTAATTCTTTTACCTTTGTTAGGTTCTTTAGTACTTTTTCTGGATATTTTATTTCAGCTTTTTCATTAGCATTTATATAGTGTGAAACAACACCTAAATAATAGCCTGAAAAAAAAATTTGATAGTTTAGTTAAATTGAGGTCTCTTTGAATTGTTCTTTTAATTGTTGTTATTGAAAATAAAATAAAGAAAAATAATAATTAAAATGTACACAATTATAATCCCCAATAGGAAAGTCAAAGTCATTTATTGACTAATAAGATTTGAACATATTCTACATGCACACATATCAGAGCATATTAGAATCCAATGTTTTAGTATTACATGAAATGCTACTAATTCTATAAATATAAAAGTTTATAGATGTTTATTATTTAGTAACATTTCATAGATTTGAAAGAACACACAGGTGTGTTATATTCTAATTAAACACATAGGATACTTTATACACAGATTCACACAGACAATGCTACGGGATACAGCTAGTTAAAGATTATTACCAAGTTCACGACCCAATTCAGCTCCTCTGTGATATCCTAAATGATATCCTTCAGGGTTTCCGGCTTCAACACCTGCTTTGTAGCCTTCTTCATAACTATCTTTGTGATGTTTCTCTTCACTTAGGAAAATATCATCAACTATATCATTAAAATCCTTCTCTTCAGCCATTTAAAAAAGCTTTATCATAATATTTTAACAATTTATCAAAATTAATAATAACAGACTACAATTTAAAAGCACTTGAAATCTGAGTTATTCAAATCCAAGAATGCCTATAATTAATACAGGCAATGCAAAATCAATAATGGTAGTATGAAAAACGAATTTAGTATTAATCATATAGTAATTATTAGTCACTAGCTAGATGTAATATATACAAGCTTTTGGTTAAAATAATATATTTTTTAGGTTACCTAAATTAAGTAGTCTCTTTAATCACAGTATGTACACTAGTAAACAGTAGTGTTGCCAAGTCGCATCGACTAATACCAAATATTCAGGATCTCGAGTACCTAATACATAGAGTTCGGTTACACGTTATTTGAGTACAGTATAAAATAATTATAATAAACACACAATTAGTATTTGAGCAATAAGTATTGTATTTGTTAGTCAAATATAGTATATAGTTGTGTGTTTATAATAATTATTTGTTTTTACTTTATTAATAAGTTAATTTTATTATTTTTCGTAACGTATATTTACATGAGTACTCTATTTTAGCTTGTATTTATTTATGCCTACATATATTATGGATTTTGATTTTGTAACGATTAGCCGAAAATTGTTTTTAGAAAACTAATTTTTATTGTTGAGTCGAGCTTTTTGAGAATAAATCAACGTAATGATTATTTAATAATAAATATATTGAGACACTTATTAAAAATGTGTATTTTTTGAATAGTTGTTTATTTTAGAAAATCTTTTCATTGTGTATTTTTCTTTTTTTTTTAAATATAACTTCCATGTGTAGATCTTTTTGTTGGTAGTTTTGCCATTTTCGTACATAGTTTTTTTTTTTTCATTTTTAAGCTATAAATAACTATTCCATATATAATTAACGGCATATAGATTTATATTTATTTATTTCATCAACTGAGTGAGCTTTACAATTTCCCCATATGCTTACTCAGGAAAGTATCAGTACAGTATAACATATGTATCATTAAATAGAATAATATTAATTACTTAAATCACATAACAATAATAACATCTATATGTTAAATCTCTGAACATAAACACTTTGTGGTCATCTAACGAAACTTCAAAATAACTCTTTTGCAAGTTGGAGGCAAACACGTCTAAATGCGGATACCGGCTCAATATATCATTGAGTAGTTTCAATGGAAAATAAAGAGGAGCTTGCTTAGTGAACTTTAATCAAACGACGTCACGTCGATGTAATTACTGAGTGTTCCTATTGATATTGATATCAGTACAGTTTGGTTACATTATTATCCATTTAATTTAATTTCCGTCTCACTTCTAGTGTATTATGGCCCACCATACCCAATAAAAACATACTCGGGTATATATGAAGATAAGACATCTTAAAACCATACTGTTTTTGGTACAGTCACCATACGTATTTTTTTTGGATTTTTTTTTCTATTATATGATTTTGAATGTTTAGAATAACTAAGAACCTCTGAGATTATATATTTAAAACTTAGTTATATTAAAATTACAATTGAAAACCCTAGTTTACGCGCGTCTCGTTGTCACTGTCACGGTGACATCAATCTAGTCAGACATTACCACCTGATTTTGATTTTGACAACTGAACAGTTTGATTTTACAATTTCCTTATTATATATATTCATTCCTTAAATTTTAATATTTTTTTAATATTTTTATTATAATTGCATTAAAATTTTGCCTGTCTATCTGATAAGTAAAAAGGAAAATTGATTCAAATTGTGAAATTTTGTAACAGTTGTAATAATGACGCGAGAGATATCTTTTGCTGAAATTAAGAAGCATAATAATGAAAAGAGTGTTTGGATAGTAATTCATAATGATGTATACGATGTGACTAGTTATTTAGGAGAAGTAAGTAATTGATCTAGTCTTACGTTTATATATATTTAATAATTTAAAGGACTTAGATTTTCGTTATTTGCCACAGAGATTTTTTTGTTGTTTTTTGATGGTTAAGAACCTATAATTTAGAACACGTTTACCATTTATGCATGTTTATGACTCTCATGATAATAAAAAAGTAAATATATTTCTGAGTTATTTCCTTTAGTATTACAGATTAAGAATAATTTTTATTCAAGTGAACTTATAAGTGTTTTCGATTTGTAATTTTTTCACAGGAAGTCTCCTGTCTATCTAGATCTTCTTCCTCCTCTATCTACTTTTTACCTTTTTTTTAATTTATTTATTTATGTTTTAGCATCCCGGTGGTGAAGATGCACTATTGGAGGTTGCTGGAAAGGATGGCACACAGAATTTTGAAGATGTTGGTCACAGTGAAGATGCTCGGTTTGTATTATGATTTTTATTAACATATGTATAGAATATTAAGGTATTTCATATTACTTACTTAAGTTCAAGTTGTATCAATTCATATTATATTGTATTACTTTTTAACTACTCCTAAATGATTTTGTACTTTTGTTTATGTTTCATATTTCATTTTAAATATTATGATAGTTAACATGACCTACCCATACTCTAAATTTTATCTATAACTGTTCTGTATTTTTTCATAAAATATGAACTTTTACTTGTGACTTCATCTATGTGACTGGGATAATGTTCAATGACCAGGACACAAAGTAGCCTATAAATAAACAAATTATTAGCAATTAAAAAAGGAAAAACAAGTGTTTTAAATGAAATTCTGAAACAAAATGAATGTTTTTTTACTATATTTAATAGACAACACTTGGAATAAAACATGTAGATACGGGTAGATAAAACAGAAAACATTTAGTTTCAACAACTTTGTAGTCCTTGTTTTTTCATATAAACCAGATTTCATAGTGATTGGTAAAGCCATTATGATACTAAGAGGTAACAAACAAACAAACTTACTTTTACATTTATGATACTAGTTGTATCCAACAGGTTCATCTGTGTGAATTAGTAATTGCATAAAGTATCCTATGTACTAAGTTATTATCTACCAATGTACAAAATTTCTTTCAAATCCATTTAGTAGTTTTTGTGTATCAAATATCCATCCATCCTTCTTTACAAACTTTTGCATTTATAATATTAATATGGTAATAGGATTGGTAAGGATTATAATTACAGGCTTAAAAGAAGTAAATTTTAATATTGTATTTAATGTTTCTTTATAATATATTAACATTACAGTTACTTTATATATTGATTTCAGAAACATTATGAAGAAATTTAAAATAGGAACACTTCCACCATCAGAGAGAACTGGATCTTCAAATATTACTAATTGGTATGTATCTATTTTTAATATCATAATTCTGTGCTTAATTATCATTAATGTAAGTATAGTAAACTCATATTCATACATTATCATACAACATCTATTAAAATACATTATTTTTATTTTATTATTTATTCACTATTGCACATAAAATCAGAAGGAATCAGGAAGGAGAAAATGTCCCAACATTTTCTTTTGTTTGGTTGTATCAATGTTGGTACACTGATATGACAAGACAAACTTATAAACATTATATTAGAATTTAAGATGGAAGAAGGAGGGGAAGAGTGAGATTAAAGCACATTTACGTCAAGTAGATCAAAGAAACAGTTGGTGTCGTGTTGTATGAAGAGGTAAAGAGTCTTGCCAAAATTTGTAGTGAGTGACAAGAGCTCCACTAACAGCATAGGTCTTTAATATGAATAAATTAATTTACATATAAGTATTTGTAAAAATAGCTAACATAACCTTCAAGAAAAGAGCATATTCCTTTTTAAAAGGCCGGCAGCACACCTGCAATGCCGTAGGTGTTGTGGGTGATTATGGGCGGCGGTAGTCACTTACCATCAGGTGAGCCGCATGCTCGTTTGCCCCCTGTGTTGTAAAAAAAAAAAAAAAAGCTAGCTTTAAGTGTGATCATACTGAAGTTTACTGAAATAATTATGCAATATATTCTTACATGCCATCATTGTTTTATAATAATAGGATTTATATGCTGTAACTAAACAGCGCTGTCATATGAATAACATGTAGTAAATAATAACATAAATAAAGAATAAAAATGAATAGTCATCTCACTGAATTAGGAACATATGATATTAAAAGTATAACAGTAACATGATAAATTATATTATTTCTTATCTTACAGTTAAAATTATTTAGACAAAGATAAAATAATCTTTATTTAAATATACTTATTTATAAACATATATGACTTATCAGTTTTATTGTGAAACACATATCTGTTTTGTTTTAAATTTCGATCTTTGTATTTTTGTTCACAGTTGTAAAAAAACAAAAAAGAAGATAAGGTTAATATCGATTTTCTGTTTTTATAGCAAGTGGACCTTGTTAGATTGAAAGTTCTTACTTATTAATTTACTTAGAACCATTACTGAGATAGATAGTTAAAATCAATTTAGTTTTATAAGTAATATATAAAAAATAAAAAGTAGTAGTCTAATTTTTTATATAAGGAAATTTAATATATTTATTTTTATAAATAACTGCATTGAATAGTTTGTATTGTTATTAAATTTATAATATAAAAAATCTTGTTGCTCAGATTATAAACCGCAAGGCTTTTATCTAACTTATTTAATAATAACATTTGAGTAGATATATTTGTTGCCCATAAATATATATTTAATACATAATATTCTATGTTTAGTGCAGAAAACAATGCTGTGCACGAAAGCTGTTCGGCTACTAGGTTAATATTATTACATTTGTTTATTGTTTTTGTTTTTCTATATTATAAGATAATAATTTTTTACAAATTTTTTTACGTAGCTGTCTACGTTTACCGAAAAATGAGTCGACTGAGAAAACATGGCGAACATATGATGGCTCCATTGCTAGGTCTGCCATACAACATGGTCATTTTATTCTTGATTTTATATTTTTAAATTTGTAGTTACAATAACAAAAAAAAGTTTTATTACTTAAGTATTTGTTATTTTTCGTTTAATTTTTTTCCTTTTATTTAGATCAGAAGTCATAATTTTTTTTTAAGTTAATAATTACGCTTAATTGTAGTAATTACGCCTCGGCGCCGAAAACTCAATACAAAGAACCTCCAAGTCCAAAAGTAGAGAGAAGAATACAATCAATCGTTGTACCACGTGAAAGGTTTATTTTAGTTGTTTATTTTTTTTTTGTTTTGATTAATGATTGGTTATTTAAGTTAAAATCTTTGTTTGTAGTGTCTGTTAAATATTTATATTATAAATATTGTGATACCTAAAATTGTCTGAAAACCTTTGTAAAGATATTTGAATGTTACCTTATCACACCTAATTGGCTGGTAAAATAAATATCACATCCAACACTCGTGAATTTCTGCTCTTTTAAATTTTTTTTTTTAAATCTTGCATCACCAAAGAGCCTTGCACAAAATGTACATAGCAGTCATCATATCAGTCGCTAACTCTTCATTGCTGAACATGTCTCCGTTTATTGCGGGAAGTAGTTGGCTAGTAGTTGCCAGGTTTGGCAGGCGGGTTGTCGGTGACGTTATCACCCATCCCCGGACCATGAAGTATCACACGTAAAAGGGGTGGCCCATTCTATGCCGGGACTATACGGCACAAAATCTATTTTGCTTACATCTAATTTAGTCAGTGACTTAACGCATATGATACTTTGTCTTATGGTAATTTACGCTGGGTAAGCCGCGGAAATCAGCTAGTTTCGCATATAAATTACATTTATTTTTAGCTGCATTTATTATATAAAAATAGTGATATAAAATACCTACTGATTATATGTGTTATATTTCTTAATATAATATGAATATTTTACATTATAGGCAACCGCGAGGACCACCCTGCGAAAGGTTTACTGTATTTATACCTTACTTACCTTTAACTAGTATAACTATGGCTGTGGTATAGTTAGAGTAAATTAATATTGTAATTGTTTGTTATTAAAGGGGTCAAGAGCGGCCATCATCCTCTCCTCCACGGTACTAGTTTTGCAATTTTCTGTAGCAATCGATTAGATCTTTCTATTTGTGAAATTGTTGATTTTATTGAAAGGTGTTAAATAAAAACAAAGGAATAATGTGCCTTTATAAAAAAAGGAATTGCTTCTTTTTTAAATAATAAAACTGCAAAATATGATTAAAACTGACGAAGTTTTTTTAAACATATCTTTATAATTTTTTATTTTAAAATTATGTTTAAAACGGCAAATTCATATGGAGAAAACATGAGAGTATTTTTTGCATATGAATCATTATTTTGTTCGTATTTACTTTATAATTAGTTTTTAGAAATTGACTTTCGGTCATTTAAAAATGTATATTTTTTGAAGGTAGGGTACGCTCAAGTTGTGTTCACACGTTTTTGCTACATTTATTGAATTAAGTCAGCTTAAAAAAAAAATTGTTACGGTTGTTATCCAATTTATTAATGTAGCTTAGTCAACTTTAAATAGTTTAGAAAATTAAAAGCTGTTATTCTTATATTATTATTATTCTTGGATACTCGATTATTATTGGTTGAGATTGTTCTTAAATTTTTTTTTGTGACGGATTTTCGAAAGTCAAAACTTTTTAATAATAATTTCTCATATTTTATAATAATAAGTATGTACTATAGTTATATTTAGATGTACTTAGATTATATTTAGTAAATTGTGGTTGTATACAATGTTATTGTTGTTATACGTAATGTCATTTGGAGACCTTGGAAATGGATCTTACAAACTTATTGAGTATAATTATTTAGAGAAACACTTATGTACCGTATGAAATATGAAAAATATCAGTTTGCAAATAAAAAAGATCCATTTTCAACATGATTTTAATAATTAATTTTTGTACTGATACAAGCTTTTTGTTTCAGCTCAAATCTGAAATGGGCAGTCTTAGCATTGGCCGGTGCCATTGTTGTTGGCATTGTACTCAAAAAATATTTAAGCTAATGTGACATGAAGCGAAAAATTAGGACGAGTTATCTGCAATAAAACTGGTACAATCCAGTAGTAACTAGTTATAAGCCAGTCGATGTCTATATACATGTATATCCAAGTAATATCTGGTATTAATATTTATTCTTGGTTTGTTATATTTGATGTGTAGTGTATAAACATACATACATATCTGTTACACCTGTCCCGTATTAGGGTAGGCAGAAATAGATAATAAATTCCAAAATAATGTATGTCATAGTTTTGGGCATTTTATTTAATTCAAACTCGATTGTGGGTACTACAAGATTGTCTGTGTTATTAAATATTATATCTATGGCATAATTAATATAAGAAACTTTTTATATTCTTAATAAAATTATTGTTTTCTCTCATTAGTCATATAACAAACAAAGTAAAATTTAAACATATTCTCATTGTGTCCACGAACTTATGGTAAATAGGTACTTGCATAATACTAGGTGCTGTTTTATTATTTATTTTTATATAAATATACTAGATATTTTTAAAATCTACTTTTGCGTAGATAACGTCATGTTTTTTTATTGTTAAATGCTGAATGTACACATGTCTACATAAGAAGACAATAAAATTAAGTTGTATTGACTTTTTTTCTTATGTCTTATACCTCTTTTATGCAACTTAGCAGGTAAATAAGCTGACGGCCCACCTAATAAGTTCTATATATAGAATATAGTATATCTTAATAGGTACTATGTGAAGCACTTTATATTAACTGAAATATAAACAACTTATGCCATAAGAGGGGTTATTTACTATTTTTAAGGCGAGATTTAAGCTGTGTTCTTTTATCCTATAAGATCATTTCACAAATATGCATTTAAATACGAGTAGATGCACTGGTAATGTATGTACTCTGTGCATAAATTTATGGTCCTAAAATAAGTTTAAAAGTGCTTAATTGTCTACGGCAAATCAATATTTAGACAATTAGTGGCATGCCAAATTTACATATGTATTAATTGAGGTATTTGAGTCGTCTATATCTATCTAATATCCTTGGTTTCATAGTTTTGTTTCTAAAACAACTACTTAACAAAATTTGAGGCTTCATACTCGTATCATGTTTTAATAAAATCTTTCTTCATTAAGATCAAGTATTTAATAGTAAACCTATACAATTATATTTATTACAGTGAGTATTATAACAAATGCTAATGAAATAAAACTGTTGCAACAATTGGAAGATGCATAAGGTCCCATTTTGGCTGCATATAGTATGGCATGGTAGACGTAATGCTGTTCGTGTATATTGTGAAATAAATGGGAATGGGGACCTGTGGACAAAAATAAGTAACGGTAATCAATTTTATTTAAGTCCATAGTAGTATGGGGTATACAAAGATTTTAGCAAAAAATAAAATAGCAACTTTAATAGTAACAAAATTAATATGGCATTAACACGGGAGTAAGACCTATCGATTGAAAGGAAGTACCAAAATCGGTTCAATATTGATGAAGATATCGCATAGCGTAAAGAAAGAAATAGGCGAATTAGCAACCACTTTTGTACCTAGTTTAAGGGAGTTATGTAAAAAAAACAGCGTGTGATAAAGTTCTTATGGAATCAATTGTAGAAGAAAATTCAATCGATTGTAAAAGTAATGAATTTCAAAGCTGGTTTGAAAATAAACAAATATACACTTCAATTGGATAAAACCAGTTATTTTGATTTCAAAACTAAATTAATGAACCCATTTTGATAAAATTGACGTAACACCAATCTGTAAGTATATCCTTTCTGATAAAAAAGGAATTTCCTAATCGATTTATAACTGATGGATTAAAGAGGTCACAAACATAAAATACAATCGAATTCTGAACCTCTTTCTTTTTGAAGACTGTTCAGATAGATAGATAGATAATCTTTATTGTTTCCTCCAAAAGATTACAATAGTAAACTTATTATAAAAATAAATAATTACAAGAAATAATCACAATGAGAAAACAATGGGTTCAGAACATAGATGATTCAAGAATCTATTTTCCCCCTCCCTTTAGAAAAGGTAAAAATTCCTTTATTGTAAGACGCTTGTGAAATTTGCTGTCAGAACTAAGCCAAGACTCAAATCCTTCAGTTTAAAATTCACAAATAACGTAATTATTACTTGGTAGAACCATACCTCTAGCATAAATTATGACGTCACCACCGCCATGACTGTTCTCATCCAAAATGATGCCAGCATTCTGTGTGTAGTAAACACTATTCGTCTCCTCCTGGGTAGGGTCTTGCCTCATCACCGTAGTTCGGTTTTGATTATCTGTATAGGCATAATACTTGAAGGAGCTGGGCCCTCCAGTGCTGTAGGCCAAAGTGGTGTAGTTGATTCCATCGTGGGGGGAAGCCCCCGCTGTGCCTGGAATTTTATATTTATTGATGTCACTGATGTACCTGTACATCTTTTTATGGAACATGAAATGGTAAACTGGCTGACGGCTAGACATAAAGAGCACTATGCATTTCACAGAATACACTACGATGCTCATTGTACCTCACATACGTTGCCATTTTTGAGTATTAAGGTGATATACTTCTGTAACCTATAGTTTCACTGCCACGTCATGCTATGCCTTCAACTGAAAAAGCCATGCACGCATAGCTATTTCACGTCAGAAACAAGTAGGACAGAGGAACCCATGCACACAATTTGTATATAGTCTTCCTTAGGTAAAAGTGTTCTTGTTTTATGTGATTCTTATGTAAGTAGGTCGCTAGAGGATTATTACAGTCACTGTTTTGTGTATTTTTGCAGTTTGTCAGTAACATGAATGATTGTGGTCCTTACTATGTTGGATGAATGGGTAACCTCTGGTCGAGGAATAATGAAATACTTGATGCAGGATTTAAATAAAAGTTTGCTATTTAGGTACCGTTGGCTCGGGGTTTTTACCATGGAAAATTATATTTAGAAGGCATTCTATTTGAGTTTATTTGTTACCTAATAGCGCTAGCGGCGGCTTAACGGCTTAACTAGGCACCATGAAAATTGGTACCTATACACGTTCTATATGGGATGGAAATGCCCATAAACTACTCTTTATACCAGTCAGTAAACATATCAGTCACGTGGATGAAGTTGCAGATAAAAGCTAGTTATTTATAATTAACAGGAAAAATTACAAACTTTTTCAATCACTATTTGCAACCAACTACAAAAATTATTCTGCTTTAATATGAGAGTAAACTCTGTAAAAGCAAAGATAATTATCAAAATAAGCTCGGTATTGACGAAAGTATTCTAGACGTCTATGTTCAGTAACAGACAGGGAATATCTAAAATGTTGATGATATTCATAAAACCTGTTTAATACTCATAGACAGATATTTACCAAATATGTTGGATCCCCTATCGGGATATCCGTTGATGTTCAATGTGTGAGTATGGTCACTGGTGACTATAAGCAGTGTGTCTTCCTCATCAGTCATGTCGACGGCCACTTTGACTGCCTCCTCCATGGCGGCAGCTTCCTCGATCGCCACCTTCGCTCGTCCCCGGTGGTGAGCCATATCTATGTTACCACCTTCAACCTGCATCGTTTAATTTAACTGGTAATATTAAAATAAAGAGAATTCATACAAATTTTATTGTAAAATTTTTTTATATTACAATATACAAATTCTCTATGTGGTGACGGAGTAAGAATCATAATTTTTTTTGCGATATCTTAATAGGCGATTTACAAGCACAATAAATATACCTATGTATAACTATTATAAATATAGTAGAGAAAGTAGGTATATGATATCTAGCTTGTATTGAACTAATTTTTAGTGAGATCAATAATTGTGTTGTCTCCTAAAATATTTTAAACATTACAGACCTGCAGTTTTTCGGAATGGTTCCAGGTTAGGCTGGGTTCCAATTTTATGTTATACTTGTTACTTTTGTGATATACTTATATAAAACACTTACCATAAGAAAGTATCCATTTTCATTTTTCTTCAAAACGTTAATCGCTGCTACAACCATATCAGAAATTGATGGCATTCCATCGGGTCCTTTGTCTCTTTCATATTCATAATCTAAGTGGCTATCAGAGAAGATGCCTGGAATGCATAAAGAATGGATTATAAATAATTTGTTTGATTGCGTTTATGCTTTTTTTTAAATTAAAATATGGTCTATAGTGGTCGTAATATCTGAGGTCATCAAATATTACGTCTACTATACCACACCTAAATATAAATATCAGATAAATCGCAGTGATTTAGGTACATACGCGTACACTTAAGTACAGTTTGAACTGCAACAGATAGTAACGTATTGAATGGAAGACACGTTACGATTTATCATTAGCAATAGTATTATATGATCTGTGTCATTAGTAATTACAAGCGGGAGACTTTGTACAAAAGTCGATTGCTTCGGTGAAGTGGCTGAAGGCTGAAGTGTTTCGGTTTGAAGGGTGGGATATGGCGTGAATTTACTGGGTACAGAGGAATAACACCTGAGTCCTCAGGAAAGGCAACGCATGGGGGGTATCATGGGCGAAACAGTTTACTCTGTTATGTCCATGGTATTGCTCATGTCTATAGGCGACGGTTACCACTTTTCATCAGGTGGGATGTCAGCTTGTTTGCCATTCTAAGTTGTATAAAAAAAATCTATTGTAACACTAAAAGTCAATTAACATATTCAGATTTACAATATAAAATAATAAAACTTGTTTTACTATATAAATTATTAACATTGTGGTTGATTTAATCTATATATTCTTTATTGCACTTGTAAAAAAAGATACAGCGATTAGTTTAACAACTTGTTAACTAGAGTGGGTTTAACACTTGACTCAATGCAGTGAAAGAGAAAATGATTATTGGGTAATGTAGTGCAGGAAAGGTACAACAAGATTTATTGTATTTTTTTTTATTGTATTTATATATAATACAATTATTATATTTATCGTAGTATGTATATTCCTCATTAGCGACTACTTGTGTTTATTTGTCGTAACCTTAGATTATATAGATAGAGTATATATACTTTTTCATATAATTTTGCGTGATAATTAGTTATGAGTGACTTTATAACTTCTATATTTATTTTCTCTTATATATTCTGCATCTTTTTAATGCGTAAATGCTCATGTTATTTATTAAATAATACGTCAAGATATATTTTATGCATAAGTATATAGAATACTGATAAAAAAACGGGTCAGCTATTTGACAATCAGTTGAATCATTTTTAAACTCTATGCTCTATCTATATAATCTAAAATCGTAGCGTGTGTGGCCAGAGTTCGACACTTACCCAAGAGATAATCAGTTTCATTTGCATTAAAACTTTGTAATTCTCTCCGATTTGAAACATATGCATACTTTTGTCCTTGAGTTTCTTTGTTTTTCATATATTCCTCTATTAAATTTAGTCCGTCTTTCCTTGCACATACCCAACGATTTTTAGGTATATCTGGTGTGGCCGATATATTTGGATTTCTAGATTTGCTTGACACTAACGAGAGTCGACCACCTCCTAGGATTACCTGAAAATAAAATAAGTGAATCCTCATTTGCTATATATATATATATATATATATATATATATATATATATATATATATATATATATATTTTTTTTTTTTTTTTTTAAAATATAAATTGGGTAAGTCAGAAAAAACTAACAATAATAAAATGTTTTGAGTTTGTGACAAATAATTCAATTTTTATTTTGTTCATTATATTTTTTATGCGAGCAGCTATACAATAAAATTATATTTTTTAATTGATATTTAATTTATTTCACTAAAAATATCTATGTAGTAGTAAAATTATTAGGATTGTGTTCTACGAAAAAATGTAATTCAATTGTGCAAAACTAGTTTTTTTTTTATTTAAAAACTAAACTACCATAACCATTTTAATGACCAATCTATAAGTTGTCCTTTCAGATAAAAAAAAATACAAATCAGTTTATAACTGGAGTTAACCCGGAGTTATGATATAACAAACAAAAAAAAAATACAATCGAATTGAGAATCTTCTTATTGACGTTGGTAGAAAAAAATAACATTTAACTCTATGTTTTTTGGTTATTTACGAGTTTAATAATTGTGTACTAACATTGAGATCTCTCCCAGGCCAATCCTCTATGAGCTGACGAGCATGGTCTTTACACGTGGCGGCCGTAGGAGGAAGGTTTGCATCACATTCCCAAGTACGGTCTGCGCTGTGGGCGTACAAGGGGCTGGGGGTTGCGTGGGTCACACGCATAGTTGTCACGAAACCTGCAGATTAAAAATACTCGCTTTAAATAGATTATAATATTAATCATTGTGTACAATCTGCCAATTAAATTATTCTGTTAATATTACACTTTTAGTGCGGGAGTCTAATTAAATTGCAGGTTATACTATATAAATTACATTATTTAATAGCTACGTATATCCTGCAGCTCTGCCCACGTGAATCAGTACATAAAGTATCCTGTGTGCTAAGTTAAGATTTAACCTATGCATGTATCAAACATTCAAACCCGTTCACTTTCGCATTGGTGATAGATGAGAATGAAAACAGGTCAGTTAGCCCATTATGATGAATTCATCAGGAATTAACCACGACAGTTTCCAGAGAGAACCGCGAGGAGGTCGACCTGGTTGGGTATATTGCTAGCAATGGGAATCTCAGTCTCCATTACTAAAAATCCCTTTCCCCAATACATTTTTTTATTACCTGCACTTTTTCCAGTTTCAAGTGCCATAGCAGCAAGAGACTTCAGTCTGGCGTCAGGTTCTAACGAGCTAAGACAGTCTTTACGCTTCACCCGGGCGTCTACTCCCACTGTATCTTTATTTGCCTTGATACCACATAAAAGAGCTGTCGCAGTACAAGCTGAATCCGGCACCATTTTATCAGCTGCGTATGTCTGTAGAGATGATAGACTTTATTTAGGCTTTGCGAAGATGGGGGAATTTTGTCCGCAATGTCTTATTTTTTTAATGGATGATAATGAAATGGTGGCCCCATCTGCGCTATTGGCTTACTCTAGAGGGACATCAGTGACAATGAAAGCGGGTCTGTTGGAACATCGTGACGAATTCATCAAGAATTGACCACGATGGTTTCCAAGGAGAACCACGTGAAAGATGGTATTTTCTAACTATATACTGCTAACGGTATACTCTGTCGATGCACCAGTGAGGAATTATAGGTGACACTGAAAAGACGAGTTTTTTTTAATGGGTGATAATGGAATGGTATTGGTATACACTGGCGGAGCACCAGTGAGGGATGATAGGTGACAATGAAAGCAGATCAGTTAGCCCATCGTGAAGAATTCCACAAGAATTAACCACGAAAGTTTCCAGGGGGAACCGCGTGGAGATCGACCTGATAGGGGGTATTGCTAGCAATGGGTCAGTTAGATCCCATTACTAACTATGCCTTCCCCCCTGAAAAGACGAGTTAGTTAGCCCATTGTGACGAATACACTTGGAATTCAGCACGATGGTTTCCAGGGGGGCCACGTGGAAGTCGACCTAACAGGGCATACTGCTAACAATTAGGTCTCCCCCGTTATTAACAATCCTCTTTACCTTTGCCATATCCCTTAATTACTTATTCATAAAAACAAACCTACTTTAACTATTAGAGTATTTTGCCATGGTCTGTCAAATTGAGAAATTAGCGCAAAAGGACAAAATACTTCCAACAACTAAAATTTTGAAAGGTTTGACGTTTTTATGAACAAGGGGGGTTATATTTAGGGTATTCTATTATTAGTGACTGGAGATTGGAAGTTATTTAACAGACAAGTATGTCGACAGTTGTTCTTAATCTATGTATGACAAAAATAATCTAATGACAATTACGTGTATAAATTGAAACTATGTCACATGAAATATATAGGTCACCTAATTTCGTCGTCAAGGAGGAGCTTGTAAGTTTCGTTCCGGTATAGAATACGTTCCGGTTCAACCTTTCCAATTAAAAGACGAGATAAGTAACTATTGTGACGTCACGTGTATAAGTACCTGAATGTCAAAATCGCATGGTTTGTATGAACAATAAAAAAATACAAATTTCGAATTTACTTCTTGAAAAAATTAACCAGTTCACGAACATTGCCATTGTTTTTCAGATTTTTAAACTCTTTTATAACATCTTAATCAGAGGGAGACTTAGTACAAACTCGTTTGAATGTGTATCTCAGATCGACTCTTGTTTACGCCGTAACAGTAACAATAGAAAATTGCATGGCTGCGTATCGGTTTAAATGGTGAAATATGATAGTGAAATTACAGTATATATAAACATAACATCATAGTTTTCAGAAGTGATAACGCATCAGGACTACCATAGGTATCACAGTATATTCTGTAATGACCGTGGTGCTTTTCAAGTTTAAACGTATATATTGCCGCTTTTCAGTTGATTGGCCTCTTGTTTGCTATTTTAAGTTGTATATAAAAACCTTCTATAAACGTACCTTTAATAAGCCCACGTGTGGGAAATTTTCGTAAATTAGTCGATGACTTTCACCGCCTTTATATATTCTCGTCGCGGTCACTGTATTTGGTCCCATTCCATCTCCAATGAATATAATAACATTTTTTGCTCTTTCTAGGTTCCATTTGACTTCTAGTGCTTCTTTTAACTCCTTTTTTGCTAAATTTTTCCAATATTGTTGATCTAAAAAAACATTGATATTTTATTATGAATCGACTTGCCTTTAGAGGTTTGACTGAAAGCAATTTTTTTTTATACCCAGGAAAAATCGAGCATGCGGTTCACCTGATAGTAAGTCACTACCTCCGCCCATAAGCACCCGTAACACTAGAGGCATTGCATGTGTGCTGCCGGCCTTTTAAGAAAGAATATGCTCTTTTCTTTTATATTAATAGATCTAAGTAAAAATAATATTAGCTATCTACATGTTTGCCTTCCCTCGAGGGGAGTTTTTCTAGTATTTGCCACGCTTGGCAAGCGGTTTGGCAACCGCAGTTAGGCTTTTAGAGATGTTTTAAGAGGGACGCTGCTACCCATCCCTCGCCCTTCCTTAGTCGCCTCTTACGACACATACGAGAAAAGAAGGGGTGGCCCATTCTATGCCAGGACCCACACGTGGAATGTTGTAATAACAGGTTAGAAAATTAAGATCGATTTATGATGATAAATTAAATAAGAAACATGAAATTTAATAATGAAACTAATAATGATTTTTATAGATAAATATAGGTAGGTAGTTAGAAATAGATTTCACATTTAAAATTTCACATGGCATATCTTTGTATTTTATTACTAGGTTGATAATTAAACTGTGCAAATAGGTATTACCTGCTTGTACGTTATCTTGCTTGACAAAATTGGGCGCGTTATAAATTAAAATGTTTTTAAATTGCTCTTACTGTGAAATCTGCAATGTGAAATCGGTTATTGTTAATGACTAACCGGCTCTCAAGGAACACCGCACAGTAAAGAGGAAGCACCAAACCAATAAAACTGAGCGCATGACGAATACTACTCGGCCTCGTGGTTCTCCAATGACACTCGCAATACAATAGAGTTATAACTGTGTATATTTATTGCATTTAGGGTTGTCAAGTATTAACTTGTACGTTTAAGCACATTTTTATTTCAATTGACTTTGAAATCAAGGTCGATTCAACTGGATATATTTTTTATGTAATATTTACGTTATGCGATATCTCCGAAAGGGCTTATTGCTATGTTGGTTCCATACCTATTACGATATTTGTTCCGATAGAAGCTGAACAAACTATCTTTCTGCGTATTGTAGTTCCAAGGTTCAATTGAGAGTTTCTTTTATGAAAACTCTTTAAAAATAAATTTTGTTTACAAGTTTATTATCTATGTATATAACGTAGGTGAACACTAAGTACCCAGTCATTTATGTTATATAGAAACTCCCCCATGATGGGAGATGACGAGATTAGATGAAAAATTTAACCAAGAGAACTAGTAGCTATTTTATAAAATCGTGTAGATCTAAGTATCCCCTTATTTATAAAACTAAAATCTACAAACTTATTTTAACTATTGCACTGTTGTGTCATTTTTTTTTCAAATTAGGAATTTAGCACAAAAGAAGGAGACAAAACTGTTCAATGACTAAAATAGGCTTATGAAAGGTTTGACGTTTTTATGAATAAGGTGGTTCGTCGTATTATAGTAGGTGCGTAATTTAAATGCAGAAATCTAAAAAACAAAAACTTTATAATCAGTATCTACTCTTTGGTAGTTGAAAAAAAAAATGTAACAAGGTGATGACCCTAAGTATTTTATTAACGTGACTATACGCGGCATCATATTCATTCATGACTTGTTTGATAATAATTATCCGACACTACGTATGTGTCGTAAATTTTATGGTATTATAATAAAATACAGTAAGTATATTAAGTATTAGGTACTATTACCATCAATTTTTGTTTATTATATTTATTAGAAATTCATAATGCATTCTTATTAATTTCTTATGAACTTGTATCATTCGGATTTATTATACGATTACTACTTATTATAATTAAATACTCTCTTCATGGATGATTGGTAGAAAATGCCTTATGGTATTATGTACAATTTGTATATGTATATGTAATATGTATGTGTACATAAAGATAAATTAATAATAAAGTAGATATTGACAAATATAGTTGCAATACGTGTATTATATAATTAAAGAGATACTAAATATGAAGCATTTGAAATATTTTTATAGGTACCTATTGCACAATGTACATATTGTAATATTTGCTTTAACATAATATAATACATGAGTAAAACTTAAAAGCGATCTTAATATAACCTACCTCTAATATGTACCTACATTTCAATAATTACTTACATGTACCTATACATATAGGTAGGTACTTATAGTATGGGTAGAATGTTGAGGGGAGATACAGTTTATTAACGTACATCAACGTGTAACGACTACTTTGAATGCTTGTTCTACCTGCGTTTACGACTGAACCAGTAAATTTCAATGACGTTATCCGCTTGATGAGAGGAAAATCATGACATCGGCCCTCCCTTTTGCGTCTTTATAAGGCTATATTGTACTGTATTTAGTTACAATTGTTAATTTGTAATGTTATAAAATCAAAAGAGAGCAAGTGGCAGTTTAAATTAATTTTGACTTAGGTGAATATACCATTGTTAAATCATAGATACGTTAAGAATAGAAAGGTAAACAATAGGTCCGTAATCCACTATGGTATACCTTTTTATTATTAGCATGGTAAATAGAGACTAATTTTAAATAATTTTTTATTAAAAGGTAGTTTATAAAGCAAGAATAGAGAAGTTTACATTGTGTAAGTGGCAGTAATTATTTACTATAAGATGAGCCATATGCTTATTTGCCACTTAGTGCTATAAAAGTTATATGAATATTATAAATAAAGTTGACATTCCCATATCTATTTATATTTGAGGAGCAAACTTTATTGAACAGATTTTAAAAATGCTATCACTAATAGGAAATTAAACTATCTTTGAGTAGTATAGGCTATATTTCTCGCGGGAACGAAAGGTAGGGGGTTACGCACGGGAGGATACGGGCGGTTTCCTACTACACATGTTTTTTAATTAATTAAAAGAAGGATTAGATTCCTTTATTATGCATCTATATCTTTATACATGTAATTAACATTATAATTAGGATATATAAACAGAAAATAACTGTCATATATGTCGAAATACTTAGAGACTTAGAGGGTTGTGTTCCGAATGTTATCGATCGGGTTTGACACCCATTCTGCGCAAGATCGGTGCAGCCTCCTATGTTAAGGCGGCGACATACATCAATTTTACTTTGTCACTTTACAGAATATTATTTGTAACTCGCAGATTTGTACGCGTGAATTGATATTATAAAAATAATTCTGTATTACGTTATATTACGGTCATATGGTCGATTTCTTTTTACAGATACTAAATTTCATTCAAATAGCTTTAAAAGTAACACACACACACACACACACACACACACACACACACACACACAAATAATTTTTATAATTTTTAACGGTTACAATATTAGTAGGATTAATAATATTTTTATGACATCAATATGATTGAAATTTTGCAGATACATAATTTTGAAATGATGAACATGACAAATAAAATAAATTTCTAAATAAATTAAATTTAATATATTACGATCATCAAAAAATACTTATACAAGTACAAGGTAATAGATCTAATACGTTAAGTATTACTATAAATAATTTTAATAGATACCATACCTATTCTATAGAAAAGATGTTAAAAATTACTGTGTTCAAACTGTAAGAGAAAGAATTTTAGTGAGTAATATTGTTGCATATTAAGCAAAGTATATATTAATATTTAGTTAGATACATTATCTAAGACACAGGATTTCGTTTGTTTGTTTGTTACATTCAACAACCTTTTTTAGGAATTTTTAGGAAAACATTTAAATATAAATTTAATTTAGTTTTCAACAAAAAAAAAAAAAAAACAGTATCAGCACAACTTGTAGATACAGTCATCGCCTTAAAACTCTTACGATTTCAATCAAAGTTGCTCTTGCAAGCTGAAGTTGTCTCTACTATTGTAAATTGCTAGGTCCTGTTAAAATGATTCCCAAGAGCTGTACATAGTCTCACGTGGGAAGCGGAGACAAGTGTTGTGAACTGGCCTGTTAACATAATATGGTAAGTGTTTGTTTTAATAGCTTTCTTTTCGTTTTGTGGCATTGGGCGCACGTATAATATATTTAAATATATGCCTTTTGAAGTTTGAACATGAAAGGTTACTGAAGTCTTTAAATGAAGATATTTAAGATTATTTGAAAAAATATTTTTATAGATACAATTATATGTGTATTTTTAATGAACTACTACAATTTAAGTTAATTTTTATTTTTTTAAGTTAGGCTCAATGTAATCCAATTGTGGAATATTTATACAGTTTAAAATAACAATCAAGTTGATTGAAGTAGCAATCGATCCTCCCTATCGGAAGTGGCAACCGTATGGATTTTATAGAATATATTAGGATGCCCTCAGTTGACGCCCATAAAACTTCTCATGCTTTATCATTCCTGAGGATTAAGGCACTTTTGTGAGATGTAAAATGGAATAGAAACTCCGCCTGCACTCTCGGGATACGCTGGCGGGGCAGTGATACGGAAAAAAGACGTCTTTTTTATGTATGAACGTGGAATAGAGACTTCGCTTGCGCTATACATTGATGGGGTATTAGTGCAGGATAATAGGTGATGATGAATGCAGATCAGCTGGCTCATCATTAAGAATTCGACTAGAATAATCCTCGATAGTTTCTAGGCGGAACTACGTGGAGGTAAAACTGATAAGGTATATTGCTAGCAATGGGGATATTAGACTTTATGACTGACAATGCCTTTCCCTTCTATGATGAAGTTGAAGTTAGGTTAGTTGGCCCACCGAATTCGACATGGTAGATAAATTGCTAACAATTGGTTCCTTAGTCTTCATTACTAAGAGTTAGGGGGAACCCTGAGGACTAAGGCGTTATGCATGAGTACCTGGTAATTTCATTGTCATGACTCTGTAAATCGAGACAGCTGTGTAAACACAACCTCTTGGCGGCAAGAATATGAATGAGATAGAATACCCTTGCAAATGATTTTTGTATTGAATCACCTTTACTTTAGCGATTGATACGAGTATATGTGTGTAAGTACATATTTTATATATAACAAAATGTAGTATTAATGTACGAATATATAAAATATCTGAAATATGAATATATATAGAAATATATACAAATGAATACAAAATAACATCTGGAAATGTTCTTTAGAATATTTTTGAGAATCTGAGATTACCATTTCTCCTAGTCGATAAAATTTAACGATGACCAATTTTAATATTGTCTAATACATAATTACGAAAAATTTTTGCCTATCTAAACTTTTTCTTATTTTTTTAAAATTATTTTATATTATATTATTTAAAACTTTTTCTATTTTCTGACTATACCTGGAGGTAAAAGGATTAATAGTAATGTGGTCCAAATGCGCTTTTGCTAACAATATATTCAGGTCGACCTCTAAATATAAATTATTTGATTTATTAATTATTGAATCCGTTACAATGGGCCAACCATCATACCTCATTCCCACTTATTATCCTTTCTTAGTACCCTGTCATTGTATACTCGTAGTGCAGGCGGAGTCACTATTTTATTTTCACCCATTAAAAAAGACTACCCTGTCTACTATTACAAGCGTGAGTATGTTTATTTTTAATTATGTAGATTAATGTCAACTTATCGTTACAGGCAAGGATGGAGTTGCCGGTTTTAGACAAATTCTGCTTTATATTCGACTTGAAGACAGGATGTATCGCAATGGGCATCATAAATTCCGTAAGAACTAGTAAATATAAAATCATCATTACAACCCATTCATCATCTTTTGTCAATATTTTTCTATTTATATATTTGATGATATATTTTTATATGTATAATACAATAGAAATTATATATTTTGATTAAGTTTGACGAATTTGATCGACCTTCGTGTAACAATTTAGCTTACGGTTCGTCTGATGGTAAGTGGTCAGTACTACGTAGTTCACGATTGCTTGCAATAGTAGAAATATAATGCTTGTTCCCTACTGTTGTGACATTAAAGTCACAGTACCCAGTATAAAAATTCATTGCTATATCAACATTTACATATACCAATAAAAGAAAAGTATCTGAAAATGGGTGAGGTATTTTATTATTGTGTGACAACGGAGTATGAATACCATGTATCGCTATTCCTTTTCATTACTTTTTTTTTATTGGATGAAAATGGAATGATAACCCCGCCTGCGCTAACGGGATACGCTGGCGGGGCACCAGTGAAGGGTGATAGATGAGAATGAAAACAGGCCAGGTTGCCCATCAGGATAAATTCATCAGGAATTAATCATAATAGTTTCCAGAGGGAACCGCGAGGAGGTCGACCTGGTTGGATATATTGCTAGCAATGGGATTCTCAGTCTCCATTACTAACAATCCCTTACCCCCCTTTTCATTACTAGGACATTATAAAACAATAAATCAGAGCAAGAGAGGGAAATTAGAAATGAAACTCTATTAAACCGCATAGCTAATGTTTTATGTATATACACATATTATACGTAGTAGTATCTTCATTTTGCGTGGGAGATCCGTGCAGAGAGTTGATTATGTACGTATATTTAGAAGCTTTGGGTAGTACTAAATACTCGCATGTACATTTAATATAACATAATGTAAATATAACTGCTATATTATACTGTTTGCCTGTATTCATACAAATGTATAATTTTAAAATCTACTTTTGTTGAAAAAAAGCAACAGTTTAGTTTCTCGTTCTCATTTCTCAGCTGAAATTGCATTCCTATTAAAAGCTACTTTTCAAAAGTGCTTATAATTAGGTTTATTTGAATAAGAACGTTTCTTCTCCTTATTCCAGATCCTAACGTTCACTTTGGCTATAATCTTGATCACATTCGCGGTGGACATAAAGGAGGAAGCGCAGCTAAGGCGTGACGACGTCGATACACCCATGTCGTCTGTCGTGTACACCATCGTAGTTCTAATCGTGGTGCTCCTCTTCGTAAAGTTTGTGCTTGACCTCGTTTTCGTCTACGCTGTTTATAAGGTAAGTAGTGATAGCTTATCCAATTTTAGATATTTCAATGAGATATTTAAAAAAATATATGTCATTGAAATCTGTTGAAAATTGAAATCATCATCATTTTACTACCCTTATACCAATTATATAGATTTTGGGGACGGAGTAATATGTTTTTATCCATATTATCCAAGATTTTGGTTTTTGGTTTTACGACCGTCAGTGTGCCTGACGTCAACTCTCCTTGGAAATACAGCATATATCAAGTTAATGTGATGGTGAAATTACAAGATTTAATTAAAAAATACACCATAATCGTTTGAAATGGCAACGTATAAGATCTATTCTATGATGTCTATGGTTACATTAATATCTGTAGATGATAGTTCATACCATTCTACGTATCATAAAGAAGAAAAATGTAATTTAACCGAATGTAATTAATAAGTAACGATAGGTATAGTAAAGTATTTTGTGAACACTTGAAGTTTTATAATTAACTGAGGCCGGACCAAGTTTCTATTGATCGGAACTTATTCTACATAATTAATTTGTTATGAAGAAAGATCTGTTTTTTTTTTTGTATTATGAATATAATTTATGTTTAATAATGTTAACTTTCAGGAAAAATGCGGTATTATAAAAAAATATTGCATCTTTTGGATCGTGTTTCTGGTACTGTTCATCATCGGGTTTCTCAAAAGTCTTTTCCACATGGACGCTGGTCACGTTATTGCACAAATACTTTTCTTGGGTAAGTTTTTGTAATGAAAAAAAAAATACAATTTATTTTATTTTAATTATTGTTTATAATATTTTTTTAAGAACTATATTAACAACCCTATTAATTCATATTTAGGTTTTAATTTTAATAAACAATTGAATCTATACTTATTGAATTACTTTTTGATAAATTAATTAAATTACAAATTTCGAATAAATACAAAAAAAGCGGTTTTTTTTTATAAAGATAACTTTAGAATCTCAGATTGTAACAGTTTTACTTTACATTTTTCCAGCTGAAAATTTTTATTATATCGTCGTGATTCGGAGCTATTTGATTTCAATCAACGAAGATGGAGTTCTATAAACAGTTCCTATAATTTTATATTTAGGTTTATGTAATCTTGTATAAGCCTAATATCACAAAAGGTTTTAGAATACAATGTCGAGTATAAATTAGGTGACAAATCATTAGATTTGGCTATAGTATTGGTTTATAGTTCTGTATTACATAGTGTCTATTGGTTTTGTCGTCTAATGATATGAAGCTTGATAAAATAAACTTATGAATTGGAGTAGTCTCCACTTCATCGTGATTATTTTTTCCTAAGCAAAAAAAGAAAAAAGAATAAAAATTAGGTCAAGTAATTGATAACCTGAATATTTATATTATTTTTTTTTATTAATCTTGTCTGTGTATTGCCTTTGAAATGATTTATATTGCGATAAGTGGAGAATGCTTATAATTCTATTAAGTACATCGTATCATGTAGTTAATTCCAAATAGTTTATTGTGTATATTAGTTTATTGGTGTTTTATAAAATATTTAACACTTGTGACCCGATAGGGATTGTTAAAAAATAGTAATTGTAAGTAAAAGCATTTCGGTTTTATATAATTTACAAAAAAATATACAGAAAGATGTAAGAGAATGTAGTAAATAGAAGGTATTTTCCGATTTATATGTAGTTAAGATTCGATGTAGTGTTGTGATCGTAAATACAGACCTATTGAATGCTATATTTACAGACACTTTTGCATATAAGTAGGTACTTGTATATCTATTTATTTTTTATAGCAAGTCTTGCAAAATTTATAAATTTTCTATTCGTATTTCAGATAATAGCCAATCAATGCAGTACTAATTGTGTCTATTCCTATAAATATTTTATATATATAGAAATATATAATTTTTATATATAATTTTTATATATATTAAAAATATATTTAAGTGTCTGTGGATATAATATAGGGATAGATGTGTCTACTAGGCATTGGCGTAGCTAGGGATTTTTCCTAGGGGTCAGTTACTTAACTACCAATAGCATTAGATTCCATTAAATGTGGTGGTAGAAATTACTTAATTTTCTAAGAGGCAACCAGTTCTCTAGGACGGGCCAACTGTGTCCCGTGCTTCTCTTAGTTACGCCCATGTTACTAGGTCAGAAGGACCAAAATTGTAAACGACCATGAGCTTGATTTTAGTACTATGAGATGATGTAAAAAAGTGCAGATTTGTCCACGTTTCATTGAATCAATATAGGACCATTAAATGCTGCGCATAATAATTACGACCTACTGGTATATATTCCTATGCATATCCAATTTGAGATTATTATCTGAATATTGAAGTTTTCGATTAGATCGTAAGATTATTGTCTCCGGTCTATGTAAAGAGTTTGTAATTAATTCATTGTTAAATATATATTATTTTATTAAAAACGCTTGAACTCTGGTTGTGAATTCAACAGTTTATATTTTATGGGATCTCGTAAGGTCTATTGTCATAAATAACGGTGGATCTAAGAGTTTTGTACATTTTATTGAAAACAAAAATACAATAAGGATTATTCCTTGTCATTGAACGTGTTGAGATACTTATAATAAAATAAAAAACTAAAGACATGGTTATTACTAAGTTTATCACCAACTAAAGTGATAATTCATCATTGTTCCCTAAATACAAACTTTTGTTTTATAAAATTCTATCATCGTTCTTGGAGGTTTTGCCAGCAGTTGCCACGCTTGGCTGAAAGGTTTGAAACCCCGCAAATAGACTTTGGTGATATTTTAAGAGGGACGCTGTTATCCATCTCACGATGATTAAATTCCCTTAGCGACCTCATATAACATCCACGTGAAAGGAAGGTGTGACCCTTACTATGCTGGTAACATACAGCTAATGAAGTTGCATACTAAAAAGGAAAGACACCATATTAAAGCAACTATTACAATACCATAAGTTTATCTTATAAAATTCTTGGATCTATCGTTAATAGTGGCATTAGAGCAAACAGGACTATAATTTTTGTTGCCGTAAAGAAAATACCTATACTTACTTACATTTGTATAAATGTAAATTAATAAGGTGAATGTTGAAATTATATTGTGTTATTTAACATTAAATTAGAAACTCGTCTTCCATTAACTAGATTTAGGTAAACATCATTGTTTTCTATTTTGCTGTTGATATGTCATGATCAATATATTGAATAATTTATTAATAGACAAAAATTACAAATTTTCTCTCTATCTATTAATCTCTATACATATTAAATATAGTATAACATTATATGAGTATCTATATATAATTTTATACTTCTGTCTGTCTCGCTGAAAGCTTTACTTGTGTGTTACATAGGTATATAGCAAAAAGAAGTACTATTCGCCTCGCCATAAAAGAGGATGCAGTGATTGAAATATAAAATGTATGTGAGTGGTGTATCTATTTAATAGATAAAAATATTTATATTCAGAAATATTTATCCACAATTGAAAATTAAGCAGTACCTACATCTTGATCGAGCATGCATCAGTAGTAACAGGATACTAAATTACATTATGATTTATAATAGGTGCGAATGACTTTTTTTAGTCCAAATAACACTTTATGTACATAATCAGCAATTCGAAAAACGAAATTAGACAGAAATCGCTATATTGTTCATTATTTAATTATTAATTTCTACAGCGGATTTAGATAACAGGTACCTACAGATTTTACAAAATATTAAATCGAAATAATGACAATGTGTATGTATGACGAATTCTGTGCGTAGTAATGGCTATATAGCTTGGTTCAAAAGAGGTCTTCAATTCGATTTTCGGCAGGACTAATTTAGAAAAAATAAAATTCTAAACTGTTGGTTCTGGTTTAGGTGTTCTGGGTTGTGCCTCACATGTTGGTTGTTCGATTTTTCATAGCATATGGTATCTTAGTTGAGAACTAGATACTTAATATTGATGTGATTGTATGGCACCTAATAGGTAGTATTATTTGTGATTGTTAATGGAGTTTAATATATTTAAGTCTTGGATCGAATATTGACCTTATCATCATAATATTATGGTACAACTTCTAAAATTTCTGACTTTTTAATAATGATAATATATGAAAAGGCTGAATAATGCATTGCCGGCAGATTCTTGCAAAAATTTCGAAACTCTATACATTATTAACATTCCATTTGGCCAAATGTATAATGCTAAATATACGTTCTATGTTTTTTAAGGTAATATTCAGAGTAATTTATCTAAAATTATATGTTTATAGTATTTATGGTGCGTGTCACATTAGGAGGTGTTTATACAATAATGTATTGTTATAAAATATCATATCTTCTATAAAATAGCAACGATCGTTTATTACCTCGATCTTTATTCTTGTTGTAAATGTTTTCGGTGTTTTATAGTGAGTATTTAATAATTTAAACTAGTGGCCAATCGTTCACATATATAAATATATATATTTAACAAAAATAGAAGGAAAAATAGATGAGGGTAGATATAATATCTCGGCAAATTGAAACAACTATTTAGATTTTTGTTGCGTTGAATTTGTCTACGATGAGTTAGTTATAAGAGCAATTAGGAAAGCAAGGGAAAAGAGTTTAAATATGTATTTAATATAAACTTACATACTCATACTCAAAGTACTAAGAATACTAAGAATACACAATACAAGCTTTGTCAAGTATTTAAATTGTATCTCATTATATGAATTATATAATGAGATACTAATCGTTTGATCTTAAATATTTAATGAATTTTTCTAAAAAATGAGAATTATTAGATAATTGTACATTTATCACTTTAGCTTTTCGTACTTGAGTCCAACGACATATCTATTCTAAAATTTGCACTAATATCCGATTACTGTATATATGCCTAAATCTTGGGACATTTTTGACAAGTATAATAATTGCTAAAAAAGTATCGATTATACGAATATATATATATATATATATATATATATATATATATATATATATATATATATATATATATATATATATATATATATATATATATATATATATATATATATATATATATATATATATATATATATATATATATATATATATATATATATATATATATATAAACTAAGTAAATTACTAGTTTGGTTATCCAGAGGGTCGTATTTTGCCACCTTTGAGACTTGCGCAGACGATGGACAATTCCTTAGCGAAGATTTTTGTCCACTGTAATATAAAACAATGATTTACACGTTACGACGCAATCGATGGAATGTTTTGTGCTCTGCGGACAGAATGTCCCTCGTATGTGTAGGCCTTTGTAGTATAAAAGACTGGCTCTTTGTTTCTGTTCCTATGATCTTGAAATAGTTATATATTTTATTTATATTATGCGAAATTACAGGGTACGAAAGCATAATCAGGAATGGCAATGGCGGGTATCATGGACAACACAGTATATTTATTCTGTGACGTCTATGGTGTTATTTTTGCATTTAAATGACATTTACTACTTTTTATCAAGTGGATCGTCAGTTTTTTGTCATTCCATGTTTTATAAAAGTATATACTATATTTTTATGAGCATACATTTTTTTAGTGTATCCGATACACAGTCTGCATTTGTATTATAAAGAGACTGAACACACTTCAAGTGTATAGAGTTACACGATTGGCCACTCAGTTTAATTTGTAATGAATCTAGATGTACGTACAATAAAGAGTTCGTAGGTACCAAATTAAAAGAACGACAATAATACGTCCTTCGCTTTAATTAGCTAATAGACTGTGTGTCCAATGTTTAGTCCTATCCTATTAAAGAGAAGCAAATATATAAGTCTAGAATCTAGTATAAAAAATAACAGCAATATTTTAATTTTTGCAGTGTATTTAGGTATATATATTTAGTATTTTATGACAAGATTAATGTTGATTGTTTTTTTAAAACTTGTCTGGTTAGTTCATTATTTATGAAGGTCAAGATTTTAACAGGCCTATGTACTTGCTTCTCATAACATAACAAAAATATGGGAGGATCCTTAAAAATAGTATGAATTTTTATCTCGAAACATATCGAAGGAACAATAATTGCGTTGTTTAAAAATGTGTAAGGGTTTTCTTATATTTTACTCTAAAGCCTCGATATTTATATAAACATTTACCTATCCTTTATAATGAATGTACTCGTGTATACTTATTATAGATATATGTTAGAAGTTTTATATGCGTGTTTTAAAATAAAGACTTATTCATATCGCAAGCATCAGAGTGCTATAATGTTGTTTACTGTATTTTAAATAATAAAGAATGTCATAATTTGAGTTAAAAATCTAAGAAAAAATAACTCCTGCTATAATTTAGATTAAAGTGTTAAAAAAAGTGAATAAGTTTATAAATATTAATAAATTTTGTGATATTATACATAGACATGTATATATAATTTCCATGAAATAAGGTCGTTTGATTGCTAGTGAGTGATGACTATATTGATTATATTATGTCGACGTGAATGGGTCTTTATAAATTATTATAAATGTCTGCACAAACTAACGATCAATTATAAATGCTTTAAATGTTGTAACAATTATTTACAATGTGAATTGAATTTAATTTTATAGAACTTTTGATGTCCGTGACTGTTGTACGACGCTTTGTTAAACGCATTGAATATATATAAAGATATAAATAAAAATGTTATAGTGAAAGTTTGTTGTCTTTCTGTTTACCTTATTAAATAAGCGATGATGATGACGAGGAAACTAAATATAAATAAAATATAAATAAGTTTGCACAAAACGTGTAAACTATAAAATTATCGTTGTTAAGGTGTCTGTTGATGGAGCGGCGTGAAAATAGACTTAACAGATCTTATAAAGGTGTTCTTCCACAAAACTTATAGTCTCTTGACTACGGGATAACAAAATACCAATAAAATAATGGTACTCATTAATCTGTAATCTGATTCATCGTGCTATTAACAAATAGCACACACATCGGTACCAAACTGATGAAGGCTGCAGGATATGGAGACAATTTATTGTGAAAAATGTAAATAAACATCACACGCAATAGTTCTCAAGTTTAATTATTTATATGGTGGTATATTATTTATATATTCGTGAAATTTGTTTGAAAGCATTTTTAAAAAGATATGTTTTCATAAAAAGGCGGGAGAATATGATTTAGTACAGAATATTTTTAATAATAACAAATGACGAATATTTTTTTTAAACAACACAAATAGATTCGTTTTTATTAGTAGCCAGTTATAATTTGTGATTTTATTAGTGGTCAGTTACATTTGCAGGAATTCAGTGCATATATCTACCAAAATACTTGATAAATCTGAAACATATCAAACAAGAGAATATAAAATGGAGGATAAAAATATCATAGTGGTTTAACCGTCTGTGGAAGGGGGAAGGGGAGAGGGATTATGAGATGCAACAGAACCATTACTAGCAATATACTCTAACAGGTCGACCTCCACGCGGTTCCTCCTGGAAACTATCGTGGTTATTTTTTAATTGCTTCATTCTTATCTATCATCCCTCACTGGTGCCCCGTCAGCCTATCCCGATAGCGCAGGCGAGGTGATCACATTATTATCATCTATTAAAAAAAAAACATCTGTGGAAGAGCATATTATAAATTAAAATTTATGAACTCGAGATTTTTATAGTTGAAACATAATATGACCCAAAATATATATGAATGCGTGCCAAAGAAAGAGTACTCGTAACAGAAACAGTAGAAGGTGGAAGTAGGTATGAAAAAAGCACATTTTTAATTGAAACATGAATTTATTATAAATACAGAGCCTAACCTTAATTGGATTAGATAGGTAGATTTTTTAGGACGTGGCCTACAATTATTCTTTTGTTTGTAAATAATAAATCTCTGCGTCGCAGATCTTACTATCGTCTCCATTTTTTTATTTTGGTGGTGTTAAATAGTGTTAAATATACGGTATTGGAATAGTGGTAAGCAAGAATGATCTGGTTGGTAGGTATTCATATAGTGGATATATTTGTAGAAAAACAAAACACAAAACACTCTTCATTTTTTAATAAGCCTCACTTATAAATAATATAACAATTTTCTTACAGGTGGCACTAGTGGTAAATAAAGTAGACGTAGTCTTAGATAAGTAACTCTAATACTGTAGACAGTCATTTATCTACCAGTGGAACAATCTAACATTATTAATAATATATTAGGTCTAGCCATATCTATCCATTATATTATCTAAGCATAATTTATTTGTTTGTAAAACTTGCTTACTTCGAATTTCCTTAACTTTTGAGTTCGTGGTCAGTAAAGTAAGCATTTTTTATAGATACATAATCTTTATACTTTCTTGGAACAGGGGGAGAAGGGTTTATCAATGGGGATTAGTAGCTCTATTAATAGAATAGAATACACCCTTTCAGTTCGACCTCTTCGTGATTACCCCTGGAAACCATTATGTTCAATTTCAAATGAATTTATCACGATGGATTATCGTCTGATATTGACTGATCTGCTATATCATTGTCACCTATCACTCCTCACTGGTACCTTGTCAGCGCATATCAACAGCGCAGGCAGGGTTACCATTTTATTATCATCCTTTAAAAAAACTTCGGAACTATATAAATATACAAAAATTTGTATTACATTTTATAAATACTTAAATTTAAAAATATTATATTAATTACAAAAGGAAAATATCATATGTTAATACTTAATTACGAACTAATTTATACACAGACCTAGTATAAAGTAAATACCTAATTGCTTTCATGACATTTAATAATAAATTAAAAAATAGGTATGGCACATTCCGTTTACGTAACACGTAATTAACATTACTAAATAAAAAACATTAATCTTTTGATAGACAATGTGTAAGCTTTTACACATTGTCTTTCACACATTACACTATTCTTAATAATCCTATGTATTAAAATTATAAAGTTTGTATAAATATTTAGATATTTATGTTTTTTACTCTATCATGTCCATACAGCTGAATGGAATTGAATGGAACATAATTGGTTTAAATCTTGGATTCGCTAATTCACGCGGACATTTACTTACAAAAAGGCAGTTTGTCAAACATTTTGTTGTCTCGTGTGATTTTTCACTTGAGACAACAAAATCATAACAGAATATAATTCAAGACGGTCGAAAATGTGGTACAGTTATACAAAAATTACGTTATTAATTGTATTGAATTTTAAGTTAAATCATATCATTTGAATTTGAAGATTGTACAACGTTTAGGCAGCCTTTACGCTAATTGTAAGTTTTATTTAAGTAAATTTTACCTCACGTAAAGAACTTATGACAGATTTGAAAATATAATAGTCGTGTAAGTCCTTATTATAGATTAATTAGTTAATTAGCTTACGATACTTATGGGAGTAAAACTTACGGATATAAAGGCCATACAATATGCCTTATTATATGTGATATCATATCTATACATCTAATTATTCACAACTCTGACGAGATTAGAAGCTGAAAATTTCATGTGTGGACATTTCGGCGACTGTAGAGAACATTTCCATTAGTAAAATTTTTGTCCATTCTTAGGCTATTCTATTCTCTTCATTACCTTACTGGTGAATATTTCACTATCAAATATATGGCTATAGTTCGATCAGTTAATAAAGTTATTCTTATGTTGACGTACATTTTTACATGTATAGTTTTACTAAAACTTAGAAATAATTAAATTAATTTTCATTTCTATTTTGTACTAAACCAAAGTATATATATGTCCATATGATAATATATGAGACAGTGCAATATTCTCCTTTACAATGCTGTTTAAATGTGAATCAGCAAAGCGGCATATCGTATTATTTATTACCCATTTACCATAATTTGTTCTCATATTGGTATTGCACTATTACTTTCAGTCAATTTTATAGTCCTGTATAATGTGTTCACCATCATTAAATAGTATATGGAATAAGCTGAAATGAAAATAAAAATATTTATTGTAGAGTATTTGTTGTAAACAGTTATTGTATGTCTATAGGCGACGGTTACCACTTTCCATCAGGTGGGCCGTCAGCTTGTTTGCCATTCTAAGTTGTATAAAAAAAAAAGAGTATAAACCTATTCATATTCATACACAGAATGAATTGAGTGTTGAATTAGGTAGATATCTTTAAAAAAATCATACATACTCATATATTTCTATTATAGCATAACCTACGTTTTCAAAACATAGCTTTAACTGCATTATTATGTCTACGTCAATATGTTTATAAAAAAACACATAAGAGTGGCAGTTAAATTAAGATATTTTATCATAATAAGAAAGGATTATTCAGCTATCTACATGTATATTATAGCATAATTAACCTAGAACTGTTTCCTGTCGACTTTGGACGCCTGTTATCGTGTTTCCTCTTTAAGTTGAATTTTTTTTAAATTCTTTTTGAGCGGGTGATTATGTAACTAAATCTATGTCCTCTATCATTCAATTCAATTCCAGGTTTAGTAGTTTTGGCTGTGTATCGATAGTCACGAGAAACGATTTTATAAGTATATGAGCTAATACAGAGGGATAAAAGAGTTGGTATTATTAAGCATTTGTACCTTTGTTTTACTTACCAAGCATGGTTGTGTTTAATTTGGAAAAGTTGTATATACAGTTGTATTCACCAGAGGGAGACTTTATGCAAAAGTCGTTTGCTTGGGTACCTCTGTCCTATTTGTATTTCAACCGTGAAGCAGTTGCGCATAGCTGTATTTCGGTTTGAAGGGTGGAATTTGGCAGAGAATTTACAGGGTTCAGAGGCATAGCAGCTTAGTCCTCAGGAATGACAACGCATGGGGGGTATCATGAGTAAAACAGTATGTCTATAGGCGACGGTTTCCACTTTCTATCAGGTGGTCTGTCAGATTGTTTATCATTCTAAGTTGCATAAAAAAAAAGATATGGCAGTAAAATTGTTGGGTATAGGAGACATAACACTAGGACTCGGGAATAGTTACGCAAAAGAGACAATATATTCGGCGATGCTCACAGTGCTGTCTGTGTTTATAAGATATAGTTATTATTTTTCATTAAATGAGATGTCAGTTTCTTTGCCATTAAAATCTAATCTAAAAATAAAATTACTATAAATCACATAAAAAAAGAAGATAACTTACCGGCTCCTGCGAACATTAATAAAATGACTAATGCAATGTTTCCGGGAGAGTCCAAAAACTCGCTCTTCTTCAGTTCCGGACTGAAGAGGCAGGTCACAATGGCCACCAGAAACAAGCAAACGATGAACACCGAGTTAAACACCAACGACAGCTGGAGATAACCCGACCGCCTCTGAAATTTTACATATAATAATTTTAGACTTTTCCAAAATCAACAATATTTCGTTGATAATATTTTGCTCAGATTTTAACGTAATTAGTATGGTACTAAAACGCGACAAATCGTAGAAACTATACCGCCGTAACCAGTTTTTTTATGGGCGAAAATGGAATGGTAACCCCGCTTGTGCTATCGGTATACACTGGCGAGGTACCACTGATAGATGACAGGTGAAGATGAAAGCAGGTCAGTTGGTTTATCGTGAAGAATTTGACAAGAATTAATCACGATAGTTTTCAGGGGGAACCACGTGGAAGTCGACCTGATATGGTATATTGCTAGCAATGGGATTGTTATTAATCCCTTTCCCTCTGCTGTAATCAGTTATTAATGACACGATTTTATGTTTTATAATACGCAATATAAGAAAGAATCGTGTCTTATTCACAGTATTATAAATTAATAAATAATAATTAAATTAATTTATAAATGTGTAAAGTAATTAATAAGCTACTCCTAATTATTATGCTTCTGACATAAAAGGTTTTCGTTAAACAAACAAATGAAACAATGTTAACAGAAACCGGTTTAATTATTTAATATTTAGAAGATAAAAAATCAGGAAGAAAACTATGTCTACATAAAATCTCTGTAGGTATTATCGTCTGATTAAATGTAATGGAACATGCAAAGACCGCGCATGATCTATTTGAGTAAATTGTAGGCGAGTTTAAGAATAACTCATACAAATATGGATTGTACGACCACATTGTTCTATGCAATTGGTACTAATTTAGATCCCATTGTTTCACACGTAGACCATATTTAGTTACTTATTAAATTAATAGCTGTACAATAAGACTTATCATTAGTGTTTTTGAGGTATTTCACTCGTTAGTTCAGAACATTTAATGGAATGTGTAAACAAAATTATACATTATCTCACTGTATAGGAAGACTTTTAGAAACATTTAATTTTTTCGTTATTTTTAGTAATTGTTGTTGTCTATTGTGACAATGAATAAACAACGAAAATTTGTTTACTTATTTAAGAAGGAACCTAGGTACATTACTTTGTTCATAAATGCTAGAGGCAGGCTTTGTATGTGTTGTTTTCATTTTTGTATAGGTACATCTTTGCTTTATTTATTAAGTTTGTACGTTATATTCCGTTTTTAAGAATGATATATGGCAGTGAAATTACTGGTAATTATAACACAAGATCCTCATGTTACAAGGACCGGAAAAATACTAATAGGTCTCTGGTGTTTTATTTATTTATTTAATATTTTAAAGGGGGCCGCTCTAGACGGACATATGTTGACCAAATAGGCGACGTGCTGAAGAAGGGCCAAATTAAAAGTACCCGTAACCGGCGAGCGTGTATGAAAAGATTGATGAATGTGGAAAAAGCGAAAGAGGTTTGTTTGAATCGAAGCATTTGGCGTTCCATTGTTTCTGCTTACTCTATTAGGAGACAGGCGTGACAGATATGTATGTATGTATTAACACTTTATTTTATCATTAATTGTTGAAGGATTTTTAATTAGTATAAGAGATGGTTTATTGCTAAGCAATCTTTCCTAGCTAATCTTTCATCATCATTTCAGTCGTTAACTGTCCACTGCTGAACATAATCCTTCCCCCATAAGGGATGTTTTGCCAGTAGTTGCCATGCTTGGTAGGCAAATTGGCAACCACAGTTGAGCTTTTAGAGATGTTTTAAGTGGGACGTGGCTCTCCATTGCTCTAACATTAAGTTCTCTTAGTCGCCTCTTACGACACCCATAGAAAAGGAAGGAGTATCCTATTTTATGCCGGGACTACGCAAATCTTTCGATAGAAGGAATTAAAGAAAGTTGTAATCGCTACTTATGCTACAATGAAAGCTAATCATTAGGCAGACAAGTTTGACTGCGAACATTTATTGTTTGAGAAATAATAAGAGATATTATAAAGCCTCATATGTATTGATTTAGTAATATATAACTTATTTTTGAATCGATTTAATCATTGATTACACTATCCTCTGCTAACAATGGGAACTATAAAAACGATCCTGTATTTTATATATCTATATTATAATACATACAGAGTATATAGAATTAACAAAGTGTACTAGTGTATGTACTAATCGTCCTCCTATAGAGATGAAACCGTCTGTGCCAATTAGTGAGATATTAATGGAATGAACGATAACTTTACAAGTCAGTTACACATATATACAATTAAGATGACTATAAAGCTATATTTTAAACTAATTGTACCCCGTGGTTTTGCCCGTGGCCGTATTGTGATGTTGAATAACCTTCCTCAAGAAATGAGATGTCAAATGCAAAAAGAATTTTTCAAAGCCGACTGATAAGTTCCAGAGATTTATGTTCAAATAAATAAACAAGCTCTTTCACTTTATTATTAAATATTTATTATTGATTAAATAATTAAGATATCAGATATCACAGACATAGATAGAGATAGATGTCGCCAGTATCTCAACTTATATAAAAATCGGGAGTGTTACTACTAAGCCATTGGCCTTGAGGATATAAAAGCTATTTATTGATAGCAAATCTCTCGCATTAAACACTGAATTTCTATCTGAAATGTTGTTTTTGTTAATTTTCTAAACCTTTTATTATATGAATTTCAAATCGAAGTTTGTCTGAAGTTAATTAAATTCTATTGAATTAACGTAAAGAATTGATACGCAAAGTATAGCAGATAAGGCTTTTAATAAATTCCCTATTTTTATTATAATATTAATTAAATTTATACTCACCAAACATACTCCAGTGCCAGCCACCAAGTTACTGATAGTGGATAGCGTTGAGAACATGACCATGCTCATGGATATGAGGTTGTCTTCGGGCTCCCTTAGTTTGTTCCTGGGCAAGTTCCATGCTCCTGCTGCTATGTTCGCCATACATGCCAACTGGAATGAATAACAACGAGCTCATTTGAAGTTCTCATTTATTATATTCTGAGATCGTAATGTACATTCACTGATATTTACGTATACGAATGACAGTAAGTACCTACCTATTTAGCTATCATGTCTAGTCTACGTTTTACAAAGGAAACTTTTTCAATTAAATAAATGAAATTCGGCTCACTAAAATGGAAGTAAGGGTTCATAAAGCAAAAAAGAGAGTTTATATGAGATGAACATCAATAGATTGTGAAAATTGATAAGTAATTATTCGTACATTAATTGGTTGTTGTTTATCAAAATGGCATAGGTAAAGAACACAATTAATATAATTTATGTGTTTATATTTACATGTTGTTTCATTAAATATTATTACGAATCTGACTCGGAAACTCGGATTTTATTCGCGCCCGATAAGGAACTTTTCAGTATTGTTGTAAGACGCGTAAAAATTTCCTCGTAAACAGACGGTTTCATATTCACAAAGTAAAATTTCAAAATGATATACGACAAAATTATTTTTTTGTTTGAATCTTTAAAGTAAGAAGTAAATAAAAACAGTAATTAAGTTTTGCACAGTTCAGAAATAATGTATTTAACACAGCTTTAAATACACTAGACTAAAAAAATATATATTTTTCGACAGATTTATTTGACAAGATTTTTAAACCCACATGTATTAATTACACTTAAGAACGCATTGGGACTGAAGCCCTGAACAGCTAGTCAGAGAGGTAAAATTCTTTAAATTAATAATTTGTTAAACCTCCGAGATATTACACAAATACAGAATAGTTATAATAACCATGGATACTTGCAGCCCCACTAAGTAAGTATAAATATCTCTAAGAATTATAAAAGCCGGGTTAGCATTTAGAAATGTTCAATGTTTATCTAACTCTATGTATGTACATAATGGTAGTGAAAATAACGTTAATAATAACGCTTGTAATTGTAATAATGCTATATATATATATATATATATATATATATATATATATATATATATATATATATATATATATATATATATATATATATATATATATATATATATATATATATATATATATATATATATATACACGCGTTTAATCTATTATGATCTGAATATTTACCAGAGGGAGAATTTGTACAAAAGTCGTTTGCTTGGGTACTTCTGTCTCATTCGTGTTTCAACCGTAAAGCAGTTATATTTGCATGGCTGTGTTTCGGTTTGAAGGGTGCGATAGGCGTAAATTTACAGAGTACAGAGGAATAACATCTGAGTCCTCAGGAATGGCAACGCATGGGAGTTATCATGGGCGAAACAGTATACTCTGTTATGTCCATGGTACTGCTCATGTCTTTAGGCGATGGTTACCACTTTTCATCAGGTGGGCCGTCAGCTTGTTTGTCATTCTAAGTTAACAAAAAAAAATATATGTAATTATTATTTTATTATTCCATCAGCCGTTAACTTTCTACTCCTGAACATGGGTTTTATCCACAAGCGCAGTTTTTCCAGTAGTTACCACGATTGGCAGGTGGATTGGCAATTACAGATAATCTTTAGTGATGCTTTAAGAGGGACGTTGTTACTTAACATTCGAGTATTAAGTTCCATTAGTCGCCTCTTATGATACCCACGGTAAGGGAAGGAACTAAATATAATATTAAAAGAAAGTAATAAAATTTATAAGTACGTGTAGGTACTTACAATGGATATAGCGCAAAGGATAAAGAATCCAGCCTCCAGAGACAAGCAACCACAGCATCGTTTTGGCATCGGCAACGGCATTTTTGTACTGAAAATAAAAATGATCAATTTGTTTATTTATATCATCACTTCAGATCGTAGACTTTTTCTCTAGAATACCGAAATGCACGAGCTACCTGTATAAATAGGCTGTATGCTAAAGTTTTTTTTTTTATTATAAACGGAATTATTTCAACATAACGAGAATAATAAAATTGCTAATAGTGTTTTTACTACAGATATGTGACCTCTTTTTTTATTTATAAACACGAGATAAATATTATTTATGTTAGTTGTTTATTACTGTATGAAGTAATTTATACGAATTTGATATTTAATATCAAATTAGTCATCGATTACTTACACAGTCAAGTAATTTTTATAATTAAGTGGCTATAGAAGTTCGTTAGCCTTAATCGTAAATTGGGTCTTGATAGACGCTAAAAAATTCCAACAAACATTGGCTACCTGATAACACGAATTCGAAATTTATTCACAAAATGCGTCCGAAGTTCTAAAGTTATAAGTACTTTTAATTACTAAGAGTTGTTGGTAGCTGATCACTCTTTGTCAAATCATGGAAATTACTCCGAATAATTCCGTAAGAAATGCTGTCAAAATTTTAAAATTTTCATAACTAGGACGCTTTATTATTTTATGTTATGGTAAGCTTTACAATGAATAAAGTAATTACTCTCTGTTTATGGACCTGATTTTGACGTGAATGCTTTTCATTACACGAAATTCTGGTTAGAAACCCCGGAAGCAGCTTTTATGGTAGACAGCTAACAAATATTACTATTAACTACGAAATATTACTATATATATATATATATATATATATATATATATATATATATATATATATATATATATATATATATATATATATATATTGCTGATATTAACGTCATCATCATTTTAAAGAACAACACTGTTTATAATAGCAGACAAATTAAACTTTTGTTATATTGATTTTAATCATTGAAGTAGAATATATCACTTCAATTATTTTAATACCGGTTATCATTTGCGTATTTAAAATTATTTTTCCTTACAAAGGCACATTATGTATTCTCACAGATGTTTTTGAGCGTAATTGATGAGACAGTCTGTTTTGTTTACAAAGTCGCCTAAATGTTTTCTTTTTTTTCTCTCTTTACAATAATCTATATAACATATATGCCTTTACTTTTTTTGTTCTGTTAAGATTGTTATTTTAATAATATAATAAATAATAATAAATAATTTATGTACAACTATGTTGAAAAAAATTAATAAATAAATAAAGGTAGTTAAAAGCACCGCTCTCATCCTGGTGTGAGCACGGTTAATCCGACCCTTCCCCCTTAACCAAGCTCATGCCAGCAATAACATACAATGTTAAAATTATCAATGACTCAAATGCCCACTGATGACCTGTATGCGTACACAAGCCACAAAACTGGCATTGCCCTTGCAATCTCTGACGTATGTCCTCAGGAGTGGTAACGCATGAGTGGTGCCATGTGCAACATAGTATATATCTGTATAAAATGATATAACGTTGTGGCGGTGTCTACATTTTATGCAAATTTTCCTTTTTCAACCGACTTCAAAAAGATGGAGTTTCTCAATTCGACGGTATATGTTTTTTTATGTTTATTATATCATAACTCCGTCTGTTCTAAACCGATTTGAAATTTTTTTTTTATCTGAAAATATATAGTTACAGATTGATCCCGTAAAATTATTATAAAAATGTCGCAATTGAAGTTAGTGTTCTTCGTAGGACATAATCATTATTTATTTATGAATGATGATGATCCTAATTAACTAATGCGATAGATTTTAAATTATGTCTGTCCAAATTTTAATACATTTGTTTGTTAATCGTTTCATTAATCTGTAAAAACGTTTCGGAAATATACAAACAGAGTAATAAAGTATAAAAAAGAAGTTTAATTATATCTACAAATAAAATTTCTTTAAGATCTTTGTATATACGTGTTTACAAAGAATATCTCTTTTCTGTATTTTGACGTCGTGAGGTAAATAAAAAACAATGCAAACAAAAAAAAAAAACGAAAAAACATGTGAATACGTTGAATTAAACAATAAACTTTTTATTTTATTGAAAAAATAAAATAGGTTGTTTCTCTCGCTAGTTTTTTTTTAATAGGATATAAAAAGAAAAATAAATATTTATTTCTTAATTTTTCTTTCCTAATACGTAATTTTTTAATAATAATGACCAAAATTGGTCCAAAGGTTATCAAGTGACACGTTCACTGACAAATAGTATTTCATTTATAGCTATATAGAGTGATAGAAGCAGTAATGAGGTCATGACTAATATAAGAAATTTATAATAAAAACATCAAAGTATTTCACAGATTAGTAAGAGTAAAAACACTAAGGTGTTTTCTTGTCAGTCTATATATTTATTATGGAACTTTTGTTGGCATCATTCCAAGGACAGATTTGTGTCCTTCACTAAACAACATTTATCTTTCTGCGAAACTTTATTCATATGCATACTTTAGGCTTTGGACTTATTTTTAGATATAACATTATGTTGTAAGGATAATTAAAAATTGAATGGAAAAAGTCGGTTTTGGTAAGTTACAATTTAAGTATGTAATGCAAAACAATGAAAAAGTAATTTAGTCTATGTTAAGTGTTTATTGATTCGTTTGGGATAGCCAATAAAATTAGAATAGAGTGTGTTTATGCTTGTTATATAAATTACGGTCAAATTATTTATACTAAGATCTAATTCTTTTTTTATTCAGTTTAGTAACCTTTCCAAATCTTCATAAACCTCTAACAGATTATGGGCTCAGGTCACTTTTACTACACTAGCATGATACACAAAAAAAAAAAAAATATAAAAACATTGGTTACTAAATGGTAAAAAAAAAAACAATCAGTAATCATAGATATGTAGAGATTGTAGAAAACAAAATATCTGAGCTAAACTTCAACATTTTGGTCATTGTTAAAAAAATATGTTTTTTTATTGTTTTGTTTATGTCAAATATTGTTCTATTGGGTAGATGAAAAAAAATATATATTTGATAATATTGAGAGTTTATATTCTCGAGTATATATGAAATGTATAATAATATATCTTTATGTACAATACAATTATAGAGATGGCATGGCATTGTTTGAATGTATATGAGCGTCCGTCCAATCTATTTCAGTCGCCAAGACGGCGGCGAACCAATACTTTAATATACTCGGCAGAATGTATGAAGATAAAATATTCATATTAATACGGAAATTATTGGCGTGCTGTACAGAAAGGAGGTGGAAATGCTTTTACTGATATTAGGCGAACGCCCCGGGAATAATCCGATATATTAAGTAAAATATTGTAAAAACAGATACAAATACCTTACTAAAGTTTGTCAAGTTTTTAAGTATGTTTTTTATCCTTCGAAAGTTTGTGAGAATGTATGGACAGATGCTTGTTATTAGACACAAAAACTACTGAATATATTGGAATGCAATTTAATATACGGATAAATTATATTCTAATATAACAGACAGGTTATTTTATATATTGGTTCACGTAGGTAAATTCACGCGATACAGCTAGTAATAACTATACGTATCTATCATGTATTGCCATTAGGATGAACGTAATGCACGAAACACTATATTTTACCCACATTTCGCCAAGCGTATTAAAATCCAACGTGACAGAGGTCGAGCCTACTGTCATTATTGGAATTATTTATTTCGTTACAGGTGTTTTTCATAACCGAAGAAAGTTTTGAGAGTTAGTTTAATAATATTTAGATCCTATAAATTAGAGTAGTATACAGCTGGACTACGACGCTCTTAACATTTATTAATGTTTTAATTTATTAAATATTTTTTAATTATTTTACAACCAACTTAGTTTACTGTATATATATATATATATATATATATATATATATATATATATATATATATATATATATGAAATGATGATGTTGAAAAAGTAAGTATTTAGGTCATAATAGTTTCCAATATTTTTAGAATATGATTCCTTTAGAACAAAAAATTTTGAAGCTTTCTAGTATTAAACAACATCACATATGTTAGAAATTTATGGTCCAGATAATAAAGTGATGGCTTAGTAAAAATATAAATATATAGGTGATAGGCATATACCTCGGATAATTAGAACTTTTCTTCATTAGTTACAAAATATAGTAAATACTATGCTGTGATAACATAATATAATAATATATAAAAAGTAACTGTAGTTCTACTTACTGTTTTGATTTGATTCAAACAATTCCAGCAAAATATCAATTGGCTAGCTCTCATTCAGTCTTCAAGTTATCTAGTTAAGCATCTTGTTTTAGATTAACATTTTTTTTCGTAACATAATGTACATAATAACTATAATAATATAATATATTGACGTATAATACGTTGTTTTTGTTTTTGAAATAATTTTAAATGCAATCGTATTCAACACTCTGTGTCTAGGACCCAGTGTATTGTAGAAAATTTGTGTTTATTCAACTGCTTTTGATAGACGCGATTAACTACGTACTTATTTACGCTCGGTTACATTCGGTCAAACATCCGTCCACATATTATCAGATTTACATTCGTTTAATTATAGCGATTTGGTTTACATACACTGATCAGTGTATTTTTGTTCCGTTTTGTCAAACAAAACCATAGTAGGTAATTAACAAATATAAATACAAATACATTTCACACTTATTACATTCTCAGAGAAGGTATTTTATTGTTTTTTTTTTTAATTTTAAATAGAATTAAAATAAAATGTTCACTTTTTACGAACTAAAAATATCACTCCTAGTATGTTTATAATAATTAGAAACGACGAAAACACGAAGCGCGGCAAACATTTTGCGCGGTTTGAAAATGGAAGCTCAATATCACAAAATGCACAGACAAGACAACGTATTTGTCGACGCTCTGTGATCAACTAGCGATGTGGCGCTTCCTACATCCGTCTGTTGATGAACGACCCTGGCATTGTGTTTGCGTCTACTCAAGCGCTGAAGCATTATTTTTGCTTAATTATTTATGTTTAATTGAAATAATTCCAGAGGAAATAAAAAAGCAAACCTTTCTAGCTAGTACAATTACAAATAAGTATATACATATTTTTTTCTATTCCATTTTTTTCAATTATCAGAATGCCACTTATTTATTAATTGGTTATCTAAAACTTATAATAAATCTGTAGAGAAGTCAATTCTGTACATGAAATATATTTCCAAAATAACTATCAGGGGGTAATTAGTGATCGATACTGATGCCAAAAATGCAATCAGTAAAATTTTTGTCTGTCTGTCTGTATGTTCGTTATAGAAACAAAAACTATTCGACGGATTTTAACGAAACTTGACACAATTATTCTTCATACTCCTGGCCAGGTTATAGTATGTTTTTCATCACGCTACGATCAATAGGAGCAGAGCAGTGAAGAGAAATGTTGGGAAAACGGTATAAGTTACTCCATTTTTAAGCTTTCTTCGCGTGTGTAGCCTTAATGGCCACTTTTTAAAATGTAAAAATGTCCTGGGTGGACATTTTTACATTTAAAAAGTGGACATGGCGATGCTGGGATGGGCCGCTAGTATGTATAATTAAAGTGAAATATCACTATGAAAAATAATTGACTTACAATATTAAATATAAAATTATTTAAAATTTGTATGTTTAAAGTATCCTCTAGCTATTTGACGACCACAGAAAAATTCGGAAAAATTAACATAGTCAATTTACTTGTGAAATTTGGAAATTATATAATATAATATATTCAGTGAATAAGGTACTGTTTGAATGGTGGTTATGTAAGTGTCTACCCATATCTATTTATCTACAGTTTTCCTCCTGGTAATTACTTTTGTCTACATATTACCAAATAAGTTGTAGCACTTGCAAATCTTTGCTTGTAACTTGTATCATGGAGAGTATTTGGAGAGTAATATCAGAGACCTTTATGTATTTATAATGAAAGCCTAATGATAATGAATGACAGCCTAGAAATTCTTAATACCAGAGGGCACCAACCTTCAATTAGTAGTTGTTGATACATAACGCCTACTAATTATTGAGAAGCAATTATTTAGGAATACGTACTTATATAATGTCAAACATATTTTTTATTAACAAATATACACAATATTTTAATTCATAAATATATACTTTTTAAAAATGTTTTAGAACGAATTTAAATGACACATTTTACACAGACTATTTTCGTAGACTAGCTTTTAGCCGCGACTTCGGTCACGTGACCGGGATATTTTTACTGACGTTACTGACGATAGCCTTTATCCTTAAATTATATCGATAGAGCATCGAGTCTTTAAAACGGGTCAACTTTTTGTCAGCTAATTGTGAAATTAGCTGACTCTTTTTTTTATCAGTGTTCTATATATTTACATATAATATATCTTGAATATAGATATATTTAGTTTTTTTTTTTTTTTTTTTTTTTATTTTATTAAAGTTAACAAACAGTAATACAATATATAATTATAATAAGATTACATTTAAATGTGATTAATAGTACTACCAACAACGTTAACTACAGATTGCTATATAAAGAAAGAAAGTATATAAACATGCAAATATTGCCGAGAAGTGGAGCTGACCATTATATCTATTAATTAAGTTAAATTATAAATAACATTGACACAACCACGTCACTGGTACAAATTATGCAAAACAACCAACAAAAAAAAAAAAGTTATTTAACTATACACATGTATTTTATAGTTTATTAATTATGTGCACGCATTACTAAATTCCTGAGAGAGGGAGGAGGTTACTAATTGTTTAGCTACCATTTTTTTGAAAGTTAATGGTTTAGTAGCAAATATATCAATATTATAAAATTTGTCATTATATATTTTCAAAATTCTATTTATGGGTGAACGAATACCGGAATTGGTACGGTATCTGTTAATTGCAAACAATTCTTGTCTTCGTGAATTTCTCATTTGTGTACGCACTGGAACTTTATAATTTATCTGATTTGTTAATGAAATACAGTCATATTTACCCTGAATAATATCATACAGAATCATAATCTCTAGTTGTATGCGCCTTGATTTTAAGTCTTGCAAATTATATTTATACAATAATTGGTCATATGAACGACGGTTATGAGAAAATTTATATTGTAAACGTCGCAAAATTTTTTTCTGTACCATTTCAATTTTATCATAGTAAAACTTATAAATAGGATTCCATATAGTTACAGCATATTCCAATTGAGATCGAATAAGGTTTTTATATAAATATAAATAAGTAGTGGGTTTCTTAAAGTTATTCGTACATCTCATTACAAAACCATACATTCTGTATGCCTTAGCAACAATATTATCAATATGTGTATCAAGCACAAGTCTAGTATCCAATGTAAGACCTAAATCTTTAATTGTTTGTACATTATCAAGGACACAATTGCATAATGTATATGAAAAATTACTAATATTTCGTTTCCTTGTGAAGGTTATAGTTTTGCATTTATGCAAACTGAGAGTTAATTTATTAATTTTACAGTATGCAGTGAAACGGTTTAAATCTTCTTGAAAAAGTATATGATCGTTAGGAGTGTCGATTATATGATAAATTTTAAGATCGTTTGCATATAATAAAATTTTACAAAAATTAAAACATGTGTAAATATCATTTATAAATATAATAAATAGTAGGGGCCCTAGAATTGATCCTTGCGGCACTCCTGAACTTATAGGTACATTATTAGATTCGTAACCATTAATAATAACTTTCTGGGTTCTGTTTGTGATATATGATTTAAACCATCGCCAAAGATTGCCTCGTATACCGTTATACGCAATTTTTTTTAGTTTTTTAGTTATTTAATAAATAAAATATGTTTTTACGCATTAAAAAATATGAAAAAATTGTAAGATAAAATAAATATAGGAGTTATAAAATAATTTACAGGGTACAGAAGAATAATATCTGAGTCCTCAGGAATGGCAACGCATGGGGGGTACCATGGGCGAAACAGTATACTATAAAAAAAACAGTCAACTATTTTTCACACAAAATTGTATGAAAATGTTCAGCCGCTATTCTCGAAGTTTTTCTATGAAGACACTTTATCTATGTATATAATCTAAGCCTATACTCCATCCCATATATTACGTGTATACTAAATTTAAGACAGACGAACAATCTTACTTACTACAGACACAATCATTTAGTCATATTTTTTTTTATAGAAAATTCATAACTTTTTCATTATATAAAAATATTTATTTAAATCTATATCTAAAAATACACTGAAGTTATAAAGACCTGATTAGTCTTCTCTATTTCGGAGAGCAGTAGACATAAAAAAACACTGAATGATTATTTTAATTGGTGACAATGGAATGGTAATTGATATCTACTGGCAGAGTACTAGTGAGGTTTGATAAATGAGGATGAATGTAGGTAAGTTTCCCCATTAGGGACTAATACATCAATAATAAAATACGATGTTTTCCAATGGGAACTGAGTGGAAGTCGAACTGACAAAGCATACTGCTAGTATTGAGCCTACTTGTCAGACTGACATTTCCGCTTTAATATCTATTGAGTGAGCTATTGCGCGTAATTTAAAAAGCAAACAATACAATTGTCTTAATATATATGGCGAGATCTATAATAAAAATACATATTAATTTTAGTTTGTTCAAGTATATATAAGAGCGTATTCCTTTTTAAAAGGCCGGCAGCACTTGCGATACCTATGGTATTGCGGGTGATCATGAGCGGCGGTGGTCACTTACCATCAGGTGAGCCGCATGCTCGTTTGCCCCCTGTGTTGTAAAAAAAAATATTTTACCGTAGATACTTGAGAATCAAAGTTAACTAATAAATATTTATAATAGCAATTAAATAAAATTAATGAATAAACCTTAAAAAATTATGTATGGACGTTGATTGATGTTATTTAATTTGCAAATAGTATAGTTTTTAAGGTAAGTACTTCAGATTTGGTGTTATTTTTTGTGCATAATTTATTTTTCATACAAGTGGCTTAGGACCGTTCCTTATGGCAGTCTATGGAGGAGGCCTATATTCAGCAGAGGGCAGATTTTTTTTTTTTTTTTTTTTTTTTTTTTTTTTTTTTTTTTATAGAACTTAGAATGGCAAACAAGCTGACGGCCCACCTGATGGAAAGTGGTAACCGTCGCCTATAGACATGAGCAGTACCATGGACATAACAGAGTATACTGTTTCGCCCATGATACCCCCCATGCGTTGCCATTCCTGAGGACTCAGGTGTTATTCCTCTGTACCCAGTAAATTCACGCCACATCCCACCCTTCAAACCGAAACACAGCCATGCAAACACAACTGCTTCACGGTTGAAACACGAATGGGCAGATAACGGCTGATAGGATGATGATGACTTTATTTTACGTATTTTTTTGTGTACTTTACATTTTTTTATTTTAATATAATATTTATTTTTGCAGTCAATAGATTTTATGAATGAATGAAAGAATGAATGACTATACTTGATTTGCATTATACAATATAGGAAATAAGCAAGACAATTTACAAACACAACGATACAATTGTATAAGTACAGTAAGGCGGTCTTATTGCTGAGAGCAATCTTTTCAAGACAACCTTAAGGTAAAGGACTAAATGTTGTACAAGTAGGTATGATAGTACTGTATAATTAAAAAAGCAGGTTGGTTCCATTCTAATTTTGCCATAATTAAAATGGCTGTTATAGTAAGTACATATATAGAATAAAAGAAGTAATCCTTTCGTTTTTTTTCTAATGATTTTATTTGACGTTTAATAATAATAATTAATGTTCGTTTATGTGTGTGTAGTTATTTACATAATGCGTTTTTTTATTTCTTTTTATAAAAAATAAGAGGTCTAAATATCATATTATACCTACTTTATTCGTATTATCTGGTTATGTCATGACCTTTTATTGTCAGAAA